CACGCTAAGTTTTCGTCCAAAATAAATGTATATAAAAATAAAGTGAAGGAACAGCAAACAGTTGGAACGATATTGGGAGATTCGGATTTCACGGATCAATAACTCAACAAAACGTTGTTCAGACACAGATGACGTCTCCTATGTACCGTGGTAAGGTTGACAACGAACTACAATCACATTTCAATCCAAAAAAAAGCCAATACGCGCCGTCCTCCGAGCTGGACACATTACATTGGTCTCTATCCGCAGCCGGAGAAGAAACGAGTCCTCATGGACCGTCTGCAAAGTGCAACCCCCCGAAAAAAGAGAATACAATAATATTCAATCACTATTATACAGCTTATTACTACCAAACTCACCACACACATCAATAGTCTCCTGGTGGTCATACTACAGCAGAGAGTTTTGAAGAACATGCTTTTAAATAATTTTGGGGAATATTTATAATGTAAAATCTTCAATAAATATGGCATCATCTTCAATAACTTTACTATTATACAGTATATTTTTACCAAACTCACTATTTGCATTGTTGTTGTTAGCATCTGGTTAGCTAGCTGCGCTAACGGATATTAGAAGCTGTTTCTAAAACAAGGAGAGGGAGAGCTCTGTTCTGTCAGACTGAGAGAGATAACTACAGCTCAGTGAGGTAAGGGACTCTCTGAGTGTTTAGATAGTTAACTTTAGTCTAGTTATCTCATTGGGTTTCAAACAGTTTGGTCACCATTTATGAGAATAAATGAAAAACAGTTATGAAATACTATATGGCAGTAAAACAAGAATAAAGTTTAAAAGGGGAGTGATTCGTAAAATATCCATAAAGAAAAAGAAAATCTGTGTACAGTTCTGTTTCATATGGGTGTTGAGAGATGTATCCATAGATCTCTTAATTTAGCTCTCGAAGTGCACCAGATTGATGAATTTAACTTCAATATTTTAATACAAATCTTCCCGGGGGAGCATGCCCCCGGACCCCCCTAGAGGAGGTGAGGTAACACTGTACACATGAACGCTTCTTTTTTCGGTTCAACAAAAAAAATCTCACTCCAAGCTGAACTCAAAGGTTGGCAGCCCTGCAGATACATTCCAACACCCAGAAGTATACCCAGTTTTCTGCTGGTTTCAGTAAACTAAAATACAACAGATAGGTTTTCAAGAGTTTTTAATGTCACAGAAAAATCTCAATATCAGTATAAAGTCGTGAGATTTTCACTCGTGTTTGCAACACGTCCCTCTGATCTCCACCTATCAGAAGTTCGTCTACTTGTCGTCTTGATAAAAAGAAAGATGTCATATTTCTTGGAAGACCAATGGCCTAAACATTGTCAAAGAACGCAAACTAGTCTCAGTTCTCTCTGGAAAATGAGAAACTGGTGGAGTAAACAAGAGTTTTAACATCTCAAGGGCTATATGTTTTAGCTAGCTAGCTAACCACTCTCTCAAACTGTGCTACATGCTAGCTAATGTTTTCAACCGGAAGGTTAACCGTAACCCTACAAACTAACTGCACTATTCTGAAACAGATTCAGAGACTTCAGCTCGAAGACAATTTAGCAACATATACAGGTTTACAGTTATTCTTGTACATTTTTACCAGGAGCAGGACGGATAATAATCTCCTCAAAATAAAGTTGTATCTTGTAAATAAAGACCCTGCACGTCCCCCAGTCTTTGTTTAATCTTATAGTGTGTCTCAAATTGCTTAGTTCTGTACTTGCTATTTTGAGTGCATCACTGGACACTTCTCAAACTCAACATCACCATGTTGGTTACGTAACAAAAGTTAGTTGTCTAGCTGTGGTTGAGGTTGCTCCTCTGAACACAGTTCTACAAATAAAAAGGTTATACATGTGTTTTCATTTCACTATTAATGTTGCGTACCGCAACACTGGTGAAAATATGTCATTGTTAATTGTATAGGGTTAATTGAGCAATTTGGTACTACAAACAATTGTTGTCAGCTAGCCAGCTGTCCCCTAGCTAGCTAACTAACTAACAGCAGCAATCTTCACTTCCGGTAGGGCACATCAGCTGTGTGATTTAAGACAACCCTACACAGTCGGAATTCACACCATAAGTGTTCACAGTGCACGACATGCAGTGTACTAGGGGAAGTAGCCGAAAGGAGACACAGCATTATTGTCTAAAAACTAAAATATCTGTGACTTCTGGCACATGTAGTCCTTTGAAAGTGCTTTAAAGTCTTCATTGAACAGTTGATACAATTGTGAAAAATTCCTGAGCATCTTGATGTTCACACAAAAACTGAAATATTAAAACAAATTCTATTATCACAAATCTCTGTGTAGATATTGACGTCTCTATTCCCCATTAATCTGTTTTTATACAGCTATATGAACCCAAATAATCAGATGTTGCTATTATGATAGCAATTAACAGAATCAAAGCATTTAAAAAATAACTCTGGGCATCTTGTGTTCACTAGAGCAGATTTCCAGTTCTGCCAGTCCAGTCCGATGTCGAACGTTAAACCTGTTTGATTTATGCAAGCCGGCTGAACACACATTTGCCTTTTTAACGCTACATTGATCATCAGCGTGACACATGATAACTCAGCTGGCAATAAAGCCTTGTGTGATCTGAGTAGATTGGCCTGCAGTTAACCTACAGGTAATAACCTTGTTTTGAATAGAGAATGGTGTGCTGGGATTGTGCGAGATTTGTATGAATCCTTATTTTTTTATTTAATTATAAAATTCATATTTTATGCATATTTGGATTTTGATTTCTGGAAAAATACAAATGAAACGTGGACACAAACACACCCTGTAGTCACTTACAGGCAGCAATCACTGCTGCAAGCACGCACGCACACACACACACAAAAGCAAACATTCCTGCAGGGACACATACGTGTACACATGCATGCACACCCACTTCAGCTGTAATAAGCAGGCTGCGTTTCTGAAAGAGGACGGCAGTGATTATGTAACCACACACACACACAGTTAGACACGCACACAAAGTAACACACACACACACACACACACATACACAGCTGCACACTGAGGCTGCAGGAACAGTCTGTATTATATGAACTATAAAGCATCCTGCAGAAAACAGGCCTGTTCTGGTATTCTCTCACAGAAACCGTCGTCTGAACGTCGAGGACGAATCCTAAAAATGTCAAATTCAATTTGTTCCCTTCACTTCTCCCTGCAGCAGCTGCTCCTTCTCTCTCTGCACACTATACGGTCGTTCATGCATGAAGTCTAAGGCTGCAGCTACAAATTATTCACTATCAATTAATCAATTTTTCTTTAGTATTCACAAGTGTAGTGAAAAATGTCTAATGTGACGAATCAAATAACCAAAACAGAATATTCCTTTCAGCCTGGAAAACAATTGAAATGAGTTGTAATTGTGTTATTGAAAGCAATAACACAATTACAAAAAATCTTTGTCTGAGTTGTGTTTTAAAAATATGAACTAGTATACCAGCAATGCAGCCAAACACAGCTAGGCCAGAATGAAAAAACATCCTGAAAGTAATAGAGACAACCCAAAATAAATATGTTGATGATTTAATTGCAATAAACAGATCAAAAAGATGCCCAAAATAAGTCCAAATGATGGTGGTTTGTAAAAACTGTGAATTCATGTTTTGTCTGGTTTGCCGGCAACATGACAAGCAAACAACTTTTAGAATGCTTGTTTTTCTGAATGGAGTTTGGTTCCATCAGGGCTATGCTAACATTGTCGCTTCTCAATCGACACTCAAAATAACATCATGTGAATGAAGCCCCAATGTGACGTATTTGAAATTAAGCGGCTTAACAAGTTACATTTTAACAGCGATTTCCTCAGTGAAATTAACATAATCGCCTGCGATTTCAAATGTGTCTTCCGCCTATGTAAAACTCTGCTGCATATTTAAAAGAAACACTCCATATACTACGAGCCAGGGATCGGGGAGTTTCACTTCAAATACTGTTATGTCCATTTTTTATAATATGGTGATGCAACATGGATCTAAAAGTAGTGCCCTGTGAACTTAAATATGAAAGTGCAATAAAGATATTTTGTCATAATATTATCATTTTGGATATAATCTAAATGTTTTGAAGATCACAGACGACTCCGTGATTACAACACATTAATAGAGGTCACCAGGTTACAATAGTGCCTTGAGAATAGATAGCAGTAGTGGGAAGTACTTTAGTACATTTACTCAAGTACTTTACCTAATTATGACTTTACATAATTGTGGTTTTATTCGAGTATTTCCATTTTATTCTACTTTTTAGTACTACTGTAGAACATTTTAGAAGAAATATCATACTTTTTATTCTTCTAAATGTAATAAACACTTATAGTAACCATCTACTGTTTACATACGATATGTAATACCACTACAAATGTAGTGTCAGTCCGTGGTGTCAATGGGCCAACACTTTTTCCCATTGACTTACATTGAGAAAGAGAAGACTGTAAATCAGCTTCACTTCTAGGCAACTAAAGGATCTGAGTATCTATCCACCTCTGGTTAGGAATAGGTAAGCTTTCAAAAAACATTGTGAATATTTTCAGAACTAGAGGAGGATAAGTTTAAAAATTGCAATTATATATTTGTTTTAAAATCCTGTATCCCTAGTATGAACCCTGTAAATAGCAACAGCCGACATTCACATGTTAGGGCTGGGCTATTTATCAAAATCATATCGATATTGTGATATAAGACTAGATGTTCTCATAGATTTGAGATATCGTAATATTGCATGAGTGTCTTACTATGTTTTAAAGGCTTTATTAGAGTAAATGTATGTAGTTTTATACCACAATGCTCTCTCCTTTACCCATTTAATCACACATCCCATTGTATAAATATTTTTGTGAAAGCACCCATAGTCAATCCTACATTGTCGTGGCAATATCGATATGGAGGTATTTCATAAATATATCGTTGTATTTCCTTTTTCTTCACAAGGCAGAGCACCGAAGTGTACACGAGGTTGTGTCGTACGGAGAAAGTTTCTCACCTGTGCAGACTCCGGATCGTCTTCCCGCCGCGCTGTCCAGCAGAGCGAGGGTAAGGTTGTCCGGTGTGTCGGCAGGAAGAGGTGTCCCCCCTCCTCCCCCGACACACTCTGTGATGAGGCTGGCCTCTGAGCTCTGCTCGTCGCTGGACAGAGACGGGCTGCGGACGTCCCCAGAGCCGGAGCCGGGTACCGACACCAGACTGGGCCCAGTGGCAGAGGGCCAGGAGGGGGGGTCCTCACTGTCGGGGCTGCGGGGGGACAAAGGTTTAAAAGTTAAAAGATTATACAACAAGGATGCAACTAAAGATTACATTCATAACCTTTTAGGTAGACCACGGATGAAGATCTGACTGAAACAAAGTTTCAGACTCTCCAAGTGCATCTTGGTATTTCCTAATCGAAAGGCATATTCTAGCACCCTAATGAAAAGTTTCACAAGACAAAACCTACATTTAAATAAAAAGTGTTTCTGCAGTCATAATGTTCCAGCAGAGAAGAAAAAGCAGAGTGTTTAAAAAAACTGAATTCAATCGTCATCAAACACAAAAAGATAAAAAATAAAAGATTAAAACAACTGCTCGAACATATTTTTAACGATAACCTTACCCTAGGCCTTATCCTAACCCTAATGACATAAATGCAGACAACTGTTTTTATTTAGGTTTCATATTAAACCAGTTCAAACGACACACTATCCTAAATGACGGTGTGCCGATCTACACAGGACTAATTATCATCACATCACTTCTGTGTTTCGGGAATAAATATTTAGTTGGAATTCAATAGGACCTCAGAACCAACTTTGCCCTGATAACACGACTCAAATAAGAGTTTGGTTTATTTCCGGTTCAGTGTAAAAGCATAGACCGGTTTCATTTCGCAATTGTATTTTGGGGACCATCGTTCAATTTTTGCCCCAGGGGCCCCTGTCCAGGTTTCTACGGCCATGGCAGGTACACACAAATCCCCCCAACTATAATGTGTTTATCTTTTATAATACAAACAAATCCTCACCTGAACACCTCCCGAGCCTGGCCGCTTTCAGGTGAAGTCTCCCTGAAGAAAGGGACGACCCGGGACAGGCTGGCCCGCCGGCGAGACGCCCCTGTTCCCCCGCTGGCTTTATCCGCCACCCCGCCGACAAAACCCCCGGCCCGGGTCAGCGCCGTGGTCTGCTTCTTCAGGAACTTCTCCAGCGGCTTCATCCCTGCCGGCATGGTAGGTCTGTGTGTCTGCGTGTGTAGTGTGGGGGGCGGGGGGGGGAGAGATGGTGGACGTTTGAGGATGGTGATGGTGATGCAGAGAACCGGAGCAGAAGCGGGGGCTACATCATACAGCCCCCGCAGTGAGCAGGTGCGAGCGGACCCTCCGAGGCTGCAGAACAGACCGATTTCTACCCCATTAGGGGTGGAGTCTGGCGGTAGACTCCTCTTCAGGTATTATCACCGAACAGTGTTATTAACCCTTTACCTAAACAAATTAATAATAAATCAACTAGAGAGCTGCTCCGTGTGTCCGCAGCTCGGCCGCTCCTCCCCGGCTGCAGCACCTCCTCCTCCCAGCGCTCCTCGCTCTCTGCGGCCGCCGCGTAAACACTGAGCTCCGTTCCGTGGGCGGAAGGAAAAGAAACAAACACTCCGGGAATATAAACCCCTTCCCGGTCGTGAGCCTCTGCAGCTGTCCGGAGGGGTTTCTTCGGTACACCGTGTGCGTGTGGTGCCGTTTTCTCCGTGATATCTCCGGGATAAAAGGCGGAGGAGTGATCGACGTTGCGGGGTAATTTCCTCTCTCCCTCCCCGCTCACCTGGAGCACATGAACCCGCCCGCCGGTGCGTTTGCGTGCTGTAGGTTTTCTGGGGTTTTTGCTGCAGAGCCTCGACAGTCCGCCCCCTTCTTCAGCTCTCTCTGCTAAATTAGTGGAATGAGAAGTGACTCGTAACATTCACACTCCCCCCTCCTCCCCCCCCCCCCCCCTACACACGCTGAACTGCTGCAGTTGCGCGTTCGCGACACACATACAGCAAGGGCGCGTGCATGCACATTTGCTTCCAGTGCTTTCAGCGAAAACATTGATATTTTGGGAAAGTTTGGATAGTTATTATATTTTCTTTGACAAATGTGGATTTTTCTAAAGGTATTGATGATTTTGGAACATGGGAACATTTGGCCAAAAAGGGGTCAGCAAATGTGAATATTATTGAACGTTTATGTAAGTGAGAAAAATAAATCATAATTAGGGAATTGAGGATGTTTGTTATAAATAATATTATATTGGATTTATTTTTAAAATGAGAAATATGGGTTTTGGGAAGCAAAGACATTATTGTGATTTGAGGGGAAAAAATGAAAGTGCGTTTGGAGAAAAATTAGGAAAAAACTAGGAGCATGTGTGTGTGTGTGTGTGTGTGTGTGTGTGTGTGTGTGTGTGTGTGTGTGTGTGTGTGTGTGTGGTCTAGCATTACTATACTTATGGGGACCTACATCATCTGTTTACATAGTCACGTGTGGGGACTGGCCTCCCTTATGGGGACAAATTGGAGGTCCCCATGAGTGGAATCATTAATTTTAGGGTGAAGACTTGATTAGGGTTAGGGTAAGGGTTAGGCATGTGTTGGTTATGGTTAAGGTTAGGATAAGTCTCCAGGAAATGCATGTAAGTCAATGTAATGTCCCCTGAAGTGATGTATACATGGTATGTGTGTGTATGTGTGTGTGTGTAAACATAAACATCTGCTGAATATTGATCCACTATACAGTCAAATTACCCGTCATCGATCTGTGTGTATGGGGTTTTCATTATGAGCTGTAATCTGACACACACACACGTCTGCAATATGTTAGAGTAAACTGACACCACTTCAATCACCTGAAGACTGGAATATACGTATAAACCTTAGGGACGTAAACAAAAATACAGTTTTCACAATCAGAAAACTGTTTAAAGTGAGCACAATCTATGTACTGTATGTGTAAGAATGTTTTATTATAGATGTAACTACAGCAGTATATAAAGTCATTCAAATGAACACCACCTTTATCAGCTGCGATATTACAGTGATTAACACATTAATGCATCAATAATCACGCCCCTCTGAGATATTTGGTTAAATATAACACAATGGTGCTCTAGGAGGAGATTCGGGTGATAAGGTGGGGGGGGGGGGGGGGGGGTTACCTTGGTTTCTGATTGGCTAATGGTTACACAAGCCAAAACATCATTATGACATCATAAAGTGGCCACAATCTGATCAGCTCATTTTCAGACAGGTTTTTATAGAAATGGATCAAAAAGAGAGAGAATCTTTGTTCCTGAAACTTTCAGAGTCTCTTTCCACAGAGGGGACACATGTTGATGTAGAAGAGACATGAAGAAGAGGGGACACATGTTGATGTAGAAGAGACATGAAGAAGAGGGGACACATGTTGATGTAGAAGAGACATGAAGAAGAGGGGACACATGTTGATGTAGAAGAGACATGGAGAAGAGGGGACACATGTTGATGTAGAAGAGACATGAAGAAGAGGGGACACATGTTGATGTAGAAGAGACATGAAGAAGAGGGGACACATGTTGATGTAGAAGAGACATGAAGAAGAGGGGGACACATGTTGATATAGAAGAGACATGAAGAAGAGGGGACACATGTTGATGTAGAAGAGACATGAAGAAGAGGGGACACATGTTGATGTAGAAGAGACATGAAGAAGAGGGGACACATGTTGATGTAGAAGAGACATGAAGAAGAGGGAACACATGTTGATGTAGAAGAGACATGAAGAAGAGGGGACACATGTTGATGTAAAAGAGACATGGAGAAGAGGGGACACATGTTGATGTAGAAGAGACATGAAGAAGAGGGGACTCATGTTGATGGAGAAGAGACATGAAGAAGAGGGGACACATGTTGATGTAGAAGAGACATGAAGAAGAGGGGACACATGTTGATGTAGAAGGGACATGAAGAAGAGGGGACACATGTTGATGTAAAAGAGACATGGAGAAGAGGGGACACATGTTGATGTAGAAGAGACATGAAGAAGAGGGGACACATGTTGATGGAGAAGAGACATGAAGAAGAGGGGACACATGTTGATGAAGAAGAGACATGGAGAAGAGGGGACACATGTTGATGTAGAAGAGACATGAAGAAGAGGGGACACATGTTGATGTAGAAGAGACATGAGGAAGAGGGGACACATGTTGATGTAGAAGAGACATGAAGAAGAGGGGACACATGTTGATGAAGAAGAGACATGAAGAAGAGGGGACACATGTTGATGTAGAAGAGACATGAAGAAGAGGGGGACACATGTTGATGTAGAAGAGACATGAAGAAGAGGGGACACGTGTTGATGTGAAAGAGACATGAAGAAGAGGGGACACGTGTTGATGTAGAAGAGACATGAAGAAGAGGGGACACGTGTTGATGTAGAAGAGACATGAAGAAGAGGGGACACGTGTTGATGTAGAAGAGACATGAAGAAGAGGGGACACGTGTTGATGTAGAAGAGACATGAAGAAGAGGGGACACGTGTTGATGTAGAAGAGACATGGAGAAGAGGAGACACGTGTTGATGTAGAAGAGACATGAAGAAGAGGGGACACATGTTGATGTAGAAGAGACATGAAGAAGAGGGGACACATGTTGATGTAGAAGAGACATGAAGAAGAGGGGACACATGTTGATGTAGAAGAGACATGAAGAAGAGGGGACACATGTTGATGTAGAAGAGACATGGAGAAGAGGGGACACATGTTGATGTAGAAGAGACATGAAGAAGAAGGGACACATGTTGATGTAGAAGATACATGAAGAAGAGGGGACACATGTTGATGCAGAAGAGACATGAAGAAGAGGGGACACATGTTGATGTAGAAGATACATGAAGAAGAGGGGACACATGTTGATGTAGAAGAGACATGAAGAAGAGGGGACACATGTTGATGTAGAAGATACATGAAGAAGAGGGGACACATGTTGATGTAGAAGAGGGGACACATGTTGATGTAGAAGAGACATGAAGAAGAGGGGACACATGTTGATGTAGAAGAGACATGAAGAAGAGGGGACACATGTTGATGTAGAAGAGACATGAAGAAGAGGGGACACATGTAGAGACATGAGGAAGAGGGGACACATGTTGATGTAGAAGAGACATGAAGAAGAAGGGACACATGTTGATGTAGAAGATACATGAAGAAGAGGGGACACATGTTGATGCAGAAGAGACATGAAGAAGAGGGGACACATGTTGATGTAGAAGATACATGAAGAAGAGGGGACACATGTTGATGTAGAAGAGACATGAAGAAGTGGATTTTGCATAAAAGGTGACATGTATATCATGTAACAAAAGAGTATTTAACACTATTAGTACTGCTGAACTAACGAGGCTTTATTATGGTCATTTTCAGGTTTCATTTTTCTATGTTTTACCTCTACTGGGACATGTCTCCATGCTTCAATGTTCAAAAAGCTATTTATTGTTCTCATACTGCCTGTGCTGCAGCACCTCTTTTCACCCTCTGTCTGAAACCAGAGCCCAGTCTGCTCTGATTGGTTGGATTGGTCATTTATGTAGAATAAGTATTTTTACTTTTGCTACTGTAGTATTAGTACTGCTTCTTAAAATATGTGAGTGCTTCTTCCACTAAAACATCAGAAGCTCAGGTAGGAGCAGAATGTGTGTGTGTGTGTGTGTGTGTGTGTGTGTGGCATCAGCAGGATGACAGAATGGGGGCTTCTGCACACAGTCAGTGGCTTCGAGTGACAGACAGTCACATGACTCACGTTACACTGTGTGTGGATGTTGTATGGATGGATGAGCATAAGTCAAATGTATTTAAATTAATAAAACCCTAGTTAGCAGATCGAATTGCACAGATGTAAAAAATAGTTGGATGATTTTCCAGACTGTGACGTCATAGGAGAACAATATAAAAAAAGAAATAATTTAGGGAATAAGAAAATAAATAAGAAAAATAATAATTTTTTATAAAAGGGCAAATATAAGATTCGAATAATCGACGAGTATTATCTTTTTTGAGGAAGGAATGAGTTAAGAATAAATTAAAAGAATAATGAATAAGTGAATAAAAAGAATATGGAATATAGAATGAAACATACATTTTTGGGATAGATAGAATGATAGATATAAAGAAAAGAACGAAATGCTGACATGAGTGGTCGAGTGGCAATTACATCATTGCTAACCAGCCAATCAGAAGGCTCCTCCTAGTTACATCATCATTAAGAAAATTCATTTGAATAAAGTTGTGTATGTTTGAAAGATGCTTCATGAGTCTGTAATGAAGGATTTAAATGAGAGAGCGTCTTTGTGTTCAGCTGCTGAATATTCATCGGAAGCTCTGCACTCTGATTGGCTGTCCGAGCTGTCAATCACACCGTTTACATAACAGCCACTCTTCCAGCTGATGAATATTCATGTTAACGGTCAGAGCAGGTGTGTGTGGGAGTAAGAGTGTGTGTTTGAGAAGGGTTGGTAAAATGACAGATTAGATAACAAATAGGGTGAGAAAAGTGTGTAAATGGAGAAAAGAAAAGTAAGCAAGAAGAAGAAAGAAAAAGTCAAACAGGAAGTTAATATGGAAGGAAAGGAGGAAGAGAATAATGAAAACAATTAGAAAAGAAAGAAAGGGCAAAGGGAAGGAGGAAATAAAAGAAAGAAGGGATGTGTAAACGGGAAAAGGTGTGTGTGTGTGTGTCAGATTACAGCTCATAATGAAAACCCCATACACACAGATCGATGACGGTCATTTGACTGTATAGTGGATCAATATTCAGCAGATGTTTATGTTTACACACACACACAAGTAAACATGAAAAGGTGGTGAGGAAGAAGAAAGTCAAGGAAACATTAAAAGAAGGCAGTTAAGGAAAGAGAAAAGGAGGCAAGGTTGAGGAAAGAAAGGAGGAGGGACATTAAGAAACTGAAGATTTAGAACAAAAGAAAGGGTGTTGGATTGGTGAGGAAAGGTAGAGGAGGAAAGAAAAGGAAATAAAGAGGAGGGAAGGAGAGAACACAAGAAGGTAGACACGTAGGACAGACAGAAATGTAGAAAGCGCAAATGCTGAATTGAAGGAGGGTTGAAAGGAAGAAAATAGGAACAAATGAAATGGAAGTGAGGGAGGGCACAAAGAATGGAATGAGAAGTAAACTGAGGAAAGTAAGAGAGGAGGAAGGAATGAAGGAAATGAGGAGGAAAGAGAGAGATGAGAGAAAGGAGAAAAAGAGGAAGAACTCAAGAAGAAAGGAAAGGAGGAAGTAAAGAGCAAAGGAACAGGAAATGAGGAAGAAAATAACGTAAGAAAAACATGAAGTTTTATAGTTAATCATTTTCTTTATTGATCCTGTGTGGAAAACATCGTTCTCCACCAACAGACAGAAACAAACCACAGATGCAGTTTTCATTAACAAATTAACAGTAACATTAAAACAAACAAACATGGCCGCCAACAGTTTGCTCAGTCCACGGATATGAAGTCAAACCAGTTTCTACTTGAACATTCAAGTAGAAAGAGAGAAAGAAAGACAAAGGCTGGACCAAGACGAATCCTCCCCTTAACGTTTCTACGATCCAAAACATTTATAATCCACTGATAAATGAATGAGTCAGTAACGACTTTCTCCCTCTCATAAGGCAGATTGAATATGCGTCATGCATCACACCAAAACACGTGTTCACGCTCCATCCCTCCAGGAAATACAACTATGAATGTGGAAAGTAAAAACATCTGAAACAAATAATGACTTGATAAGGGTATGGGTTGGTCAAATATTCAAATAATTCCATTTTCTTGGGGAAAAACCCCTGAATCTCCGAATCATTTTGAGAAAAACAATTTCGAAGAATCTGAAAATAAAAGCAGCACATTTCCGAGTAAGAAAAATCATGTTCTCCGAGGATAAAGTTGTAACTTTCCGAGAAAAAAACTTTTGAATATTCTTGTAGATTAAAGGATTACATTGAATTCCAAATGAAAAAGGGGAACATTTCCATAGAAAAAAGCATACATGTACGATAATACTTGAGTGAGATCACCCTTACCCTACATGTAGAGAAAATCACAAATGTGAGAAGAAAAAAAAAAGGGAGAAAAAAAATGAAATTAGCATTCCTCTTATATTAAGCAAATTTGAATTATCTCAGAGATTAAAGAGTTACATTTGCAAGAAAAAAAAAAGTTAATTAAAAGAAACGAGAATATTACCTGAGTTTATGAGTTCTAAATAAACAAAGTTTTGCAAAAAAAAAATCACTCATATACTTTCCCCCAATATTTGAGAATATCAGTCTCTCATATTCACAACTTTAACCGTGGACATTTAGATTTCTCTACTCTGAACTTTGTGTAACTTTCAATCTATTCTCATAAGTATTTTTTCTTTTTCTTAAAGCACATTTAAGGATTTGTAGGCGTTCTGTCAAACAGCAGAATACTGGTGGAAATATTGTTCAACATTAACCTTAATTCCTGTCAAATATTTTTCAATTTTTTTATGAAAAAATTGCAAAGATTTGGTAAAATGTCTAGCTTGACACTGAGCCAAAGTTGTTTCGGTAAACATTCTATTTTAAGTAATATTTTGATAATCTATCAATTCTTTGTCAGTTTTCAAGCAGTAAAACTGCTTAACTTAATTAAGGGAAACTGTGAAACATCTCTAGAAACGGTTGGACTTTTCCTTGCCGAAATGTGCTTCTTTATTAACCTGTTGTAAAACATTTTCTTTGAAATCATTTTGATCATGCATTTATTTTAAACAACCTGCTTTTAAATTTGACATCAATCCACAAACACATCATTCTTTACCTTAAATGCTAAATAAAGAGCTGGAAGATGAGAAACGGTGAGGAATACCCTTTAATTCTGGTTATACTTCCATCTCCGAAAGTGTATTTCTGTTGCAGGACAAACAAACGATGAATACTTTGTTAGATAAAGTGTTTCCTCAGTGTACTTCTAAACCCTCATGACATTCCTGCATTTACTAACAATAAAAAAGAAACCGTATTAAAATGAAACAAGGATAAGTAATCATACAAATCATAGCTGAAGCCACAGCTCCTTTGTCGTCTCTAAATTAAATCCACCGTTAACATTCGAGGTCCCTGCCGATTGCTCTGAATCAGATCTAGTAGTTTTATTAGAATATGTTTACTTCTCTATTTTATCTGTTCAAGCCTCTATATACACATTTAGATTGTTTTATATACAGCAACATAACGCTTCTGTCAGACGGACTACACTTTCACTCTGCTCGATGAAAAAGCTGCCGTCTGGAAATACATTTTTTAAATATGTGTTGATAAGGGGGATAATAATGAATAGATGACCAACTTTTAAAGTCTGATCTAAATGGTTTTGACGTAGTGGCCAATGGAAAAATGTTTGGCCAGAATGTTTCTAGAAGCCATCACGACTGTGATCCAAACTTCCAGTCTCTGTGTCACGTTCTTGTTTCACGTACATTTGTATTTTTTTAGCAAAAAAGAGTTGGATCTAGCTGTTGTCTTATATTAAAGTGGGAAACAAACATGTATATTTCTGGAGACAAAACTAAACAAGTGACCCAAAAGTTTACTAGAATTTTTTTTCTAATTTACGAGAAAAACAATGTAAATGTTCCCTGGAACGTTACGTCACATTTAGCAGAATGTTTACTAAATGTATCACTTAAACCGTGTGAGACTTTTTCTCTCTTTGTTTTTTTTACACTGCCCCCTTCGCTATTTTTTAACATACAACCTTATTCTCGAGAACTCTTATTTTGAACTTCTAATCTTTTTGTAATGCAAAGAATAAAGCAGAATACTGGTGCTAATATTGTTTACAAAAAACTTGCAGGTCATAAAACAGGGGCAACCCGATCAGAATTCAAAAATAGATCACCAACAAAAATATGTATCACTTTCCTTACAGGTTTCGTACTAAACGCTGATTTAACATGTACTATTACAATAAAATCTGCTTCTTTTGTGTTTTATATCGTGTTAAATTGAATATATGACCTTTAATAACATAACCTCTGACTTTGAGAAAGTCATTTATAGTAATAAATGCAGGGATCTTTTAATACAGGAACTGCCCGTCAGTGTGAAGGGACGAAACATCAGAAACTATCAAGTGAGCTGTAACAGGAAGCACCGGGTCGTCTGCGCTCAGACTCAACCCATTCTCCATCCGCACATTAACTCTGCTTACTTTCAAATGACACAAATAAACCGACTAGCTGAATAAACTGATACAAAAAAGAAACCGTTTATATGGCCGCTTCAGTCCGACTCAACAGGACACTTCACCGTAAAACAAACAAAAATACTTTTCACAACAACAGTCTGTCCGTGTCACTGTGTCATGTTAAATGCTTCTAAAGGGTTTTGGAGAATTTTCTTTTTACTTTTCCAGGTTCAGCTTTGTTGTTGCTCAAAGACACGTTGGTGGGATCAAACCTGCTGCCGAGTTACAGAGCCGTCTGCCTCGCTGCTACAGGGAACAAAGAGGAAAAAACGAAGAAAAAAAAAATCATACAGATAAAAAAAGAAGAAGAATGTTGGTGGGGACCGCAGCTCCTCACTGACCCCCCACCCGGCTCCTACAAAACACAAAAACACAAATATTTTATTATCTGCGAATAATTCTATTTTTTTTAACTGAGAAATAAAAAATTGTGAACAGTGGCTGAAAGTTCTCCCACAACACTTTCATCAAATGCAATCAGAAGCAGAGGTGGAGGAAGTCATCGTTTGCTTTACTGCAGTAAAAGTACAAAATGATCCCTTTGAAAATACTCGACTAGAACTGAAAGTTACGTTGGATTGTCCTTTAGATTTCAATTCACTGGAAAAACGTGAACCTTACATTACATTTGTAAATTTAAAAGAAAACACATTGATATTACCATAGATTCAAGTGGTAATTTCCCACGAAAAACCATATAATTCCAAGAAAACACTTTAATATTCTGAGATGCCAGTGGTACACTTACGTGAAAAAAAAAACGTTAATCTCAGATTCAATTTGTCAATTTAACCGAAAAAAAACCAAAATGTTTATTCTTCGAGATTAAATGTCACCTAATATGCAAAATCCACTTTTTCATGTATTTTCTACATAAACATGTGTAGAGTGTGTACATGTGTACCCTCTGTGTAGAGTCTGAAAGTTTCAGGAAAAAAGATTCCCTCACTTTTTGTCCTGATCCATTTATATAACAACTGATGAGATTTTGGCCTCTTTATGATGTCATAACGATTTATAACAGACAGAGAATCAGCACATTTGGAACAGCGCTGAAACAGAGGGGATTATGGGATGCTACAATGATCCGTTTGGTATTTCGACCCAAACACTTCCGAGACATTTGGTATATATCAGAGACCTATAATAAAGTAATGAAAAACAGTATAATAGGGGACCTTTAACCTGTTGAGCCCCACGGACCCACGGAAAAACGCAACATGTGCAAGAAACAGCGTCTGAGGGCTTCTTAACACAGTGTTTCCCTTATATACAAATAGTGGCGCCGCTGCTGAAATATGCGCACGCTGCTGAAATATGCGCGCCGCTGCTGAAATATGTGCGCCGCTGCTGAAATATGCGCGCCGCTGCTAGGGGGCGCCAGCCAGGTACCCAAAAAAATTAAAAAATATTTTTTTAACTTTTTTATTTTTAAATAATAATAAGTGGCGGCCCTTTTTCATTTTTGATTGTTTGTTATGTGGATTTGTAGTATTTGTGTTACTGTATGTTCAATAAAGGTGTATTTTTGCGAAATCTCGAGACATTGCCACTGTATGTACCAGAGGTGTGGACTCGAGTCACATGACTTGGACTCGAGTCAGACTCGAGTCACACATTTTATGACTTGAGACTCGACTTGACAACATCACAAAAGACTTGCGACTCGACTTGGACTTGAACACCAGTGACTCGGGACTTGACTTGGACTTGAGCCTTCATCAGCGTAGCAGGGCTAATGACTGATCCGAGCGAGTTTGTGTACACGGAGAAGAGGAGGGGACCAAGAAGAGAGCCCTGAGGGACCCCCGTAGTTAATTGACAAGGGTCGGACTCAGACCCTCTCCAAGTCACCCTGTAGGTACGGTCTTTGAGGTATGAGGTGAGGAGGGAAAGTGCAGAGCCTGAAACTCCAAGTTTTTGGAGAGTGCGAAGGAGGATCTGATGATTCACCGTGTCGAATGCAGCAGACAGGTCCAATAGGATGATGACAGAGGAGAGGGATGCAGTTTTGGCAGTGTGCAGTTCCTCCGTGACAGCAATGAGAGCAGTTTCTGTGGAGTGACCTGCCTTGAAACCAGACTGGTGCGGATCCAGAAGGTTGTTCTGATTGAGATAACAGGAGAGTTGTTTAAAGACAGCGCGTTCAAGTGTTTTAGACAGGAACAGGAGTAGAGAGACAGGCCTGTAGTTTATAACATCTGACGGGTTGAGAGTAGGTTTCTTTAGGAGAGGGTTTACTCTTGCCTCCTTGAGACTGTTTGGAAAGTGACCAGAAGTTAGAGAAGTGTTGATGAAATGGGTGAGAAACGGAGAAAGGAGGTTTGAAGGGATAGGGTCCAGAGGACAGGTGGTAGGGCGGGCAGAGGTAATGAGGGTAAGAACCTCACTTGGAGAGAGAGGGGAAAAGGAGGTAGTGTGTTGGTGGAAGGAGGGTCTGGTGACCCAGCGGTGAGTAAAGGTGAGTCAGAAAAAGAAGAGCGAATATCATCAACCTTTTTTTCAAAGTGGGTAACAAAGTCGCTTGACAGAAGTGAGGAGGGGGGAGGAGCTTTTGGGGGGGTCCAAGAGGGTGGAGAAGATGGAAAATAGTTTTTTAGGATTGGAATAGGAAGATTGGATCTTATCTTGAAAGAAAGTGCTTTTTGCCTGAGAGATCGAAGCAGAGAAAGAGGAGAGGAGAGCTTGATAGGTTAGGAGGTCGTCACGGTGTTTGGATTTCCACCATTTCCGCTCTGCTGCCCTAAGGACGGTTCTATTAGCACGCAGTGCATCATTTAGCCAGGGAGCAGGAGGGGACTGACGAGCCTGCCGAGATGTGAGAGGAGAGAGAGAGTCCAGAGTGGATGAGAGAGTAGAGAGGAGAGTTTCTGCAGCAGAGTTTGGAGGCAGGAGATGGAACGAATCAGAGGAAGGGAGGGCTGAGAGAACCGATGAGGCAAAGGTAGAGGGGGAGAGGGAGCGAAGGACACACACACACACACACACACTTTTTGTCTAACACGGTTCTGTACTGTTATGCTGTTGTGTTCAGTCATTGTTCTTATGTTGAACATGAATACATTTACTTTGTAAGTGATTATGGGACGTATTTCTTCTTTCATATCAATTTTCCTTCATACTTTATTGCCGTGAAATAGGTCTTAAATTCTATTCAAAGTGGTCTTAAAAAGGTGTTAAAAAGTCTTAAATTTGAGTTGGCGAAACCTGCAGGAACCCTGTACAATAAAAAGTCCTGCATTCAAAATGTTACAAGTAAAAGTAGAAAAGTATTAGCATCAAAACATAGTTAAAGTACCACCTGCAGAGGGATCTAGATGCAGGTGTTCTTTTCTCCATAGAGACCGCCTCACTGCACATTATCCCTTGCATAAAGATAGATTGTAGGTCCCTTACAACATGTTGTACACAGCCTTACCTTACTGATCCCTCTTAAATTAGAAAAAAACACGTTACTTTACCAGCAGAGAGAAAATGGATTATTAAATTATGAATGTGACTAATAAAGAGCAGTTTGATAATTAAGTATTATTCTGTTGATCGATGTCATTACATTTGGTGAAAAACACATAATGACTTGTTTAAGACTCGTTTTGTCAAAGTTTAGGACTTGGACTTGACTTGAACTTGCCCATCCTGACTTGAGACTTGACTCTGACTTGAGCGCAAATACTTGAGACTTGACTCGGACTTGAGCGCAAAGACTTGAGACTTGACTCGGACTTGAGCGCAAAGACTTGAGACTTGACTCGGACTTGCAAAACAATGACTTGGTCCCACCTCTGGTATGTACTGGCAGGGCCGATTTTTGGCATAGGCGTAGGCGGTCGACTAGGGCGCCAGATCTGGGGGGGGGGCGCTGCGCTGGTAGCTCTGGGAGGGGAAAAAACATTTGACCGTTGGGGCTCATCCTAATTTTTGGCCTTGATGTAACAACATTCATAATTAAGTAAATGTAACACCCTTTTCACCCCGGTTACACTTTTCATTTGCCCTGTACGATAGGCGCTGTAAGTGATGAAAGTGGGGGATGTTGGCTTATCAGGCGCCCGCAGTTCACAGCCAAAATGCGAGCGTGGGAGCGAGAGAGCGAGCGAGGGAGAGAGAGGGCGCACCGGTACCGGCGCTGTTGTTATTAGAATCTGGTGCTAGCTGCGCTAACGGATATAAGAAGTAGATGTTTCTACAACCATGGTGGAGGAGAGCTCTCCTGTCAGACTGAGAGGCTCAGTGAGGTAGAGGACTCTCCGAGTGTTTAGATAGTTAATTTTAGTCTAAGTTATCTCAGTGGGTCTCAAACGGTTTGACCACAAATTATGTAAACACATATTTCCAAGGCACTCCTTTATAATTATTAGGATACATAAAAACAGGTTTGAAATCATTCCAATGTATACTATAGGCAGGGGTGCACATAACTGGTACGCAGGTATGCATGCGCGGCAACAATCTGAAATTTGTACCAGCACTTGTGTCACAAAGCGCATTTGCGTACCGACGTACTTGTGAAACTTTTCCAGAAAGTGGTTAGATCACCGGACGACAGAGTCGGTCTCCGTGTGCACAGACAGGGCTGCTGTTAACGTCGGTCTGTACAACGGAATTGTGCCAAAACTACGCCAACCGGCTGCGGAGGGAGACTCCCCCCCTTCACTGGAGAACTGCGCTAAAACAGCTGATCACAACGTTCACACACTGTGGTCACGAAGTACCCCACCATTTTTTAAATCAATAGCGTGATATTCTAGTGGTCAATTCACGAGAAAAACCTTGAATATTCTCCCATATTTTAAAAGCAACAAATGTACAAAAAAAAAACACAACTTAATTGAACAATTTAAGTAAAAATGTACATCACAGTCTCGCATAACCACAGCTAAACTAAAGGCGGCATATTTTCAGCGTGATGACCTCAACCCTCCGGTATCACTGTGGACGTTTTTGTCCATATGGGTCATTTTTCACTTTGCAATAACTTTGGCTGTGTTGGTGCAAATTGCCTGATTTTTTGTAACAAGGCTATTTTCTCGATCTATTTTGGAATTCCAATTTTTCAAATCACAGGGCCATCTGTAAATTAGCTTAGATGGCCCACAGGGTGATATACAGTGAAAAGGACAAATTGAACTATTTTCCGTCCGATATAAAATCCTGACATTACAAAATGCATGATTTTATACCGGTATGGCGGAGAGATCAAAAGATTTGGTTATAATGGGAGTGGATGGGACATTTTTGTCCGCCAGTGGCTAATGTGGGAGTTTTTTGTTTAATCTGAGTCCGTGCAAAAACTAATAATCCACCAAAATAAATGTTGTTGCTAATCTTTGACATATCCAAGACTGTGATATAAAAAAAAATTAGCCGACCCCCCCCCCCCCAACATTCATTATATGGAAAATAACTGCCTTTTTGTGCATGTTTTTCATAGAAAATGCAAATTCATGTTTTCAAACTGGCAGTTCAAGGGTTAAAATCCTGAACATAAATGAACATTTGGTATTTTTGATCAGGACTGAAGTTGATTGAAAGATTGAACCCCAAAAAGTTTTTTAAAATATTAATCTGTCATTTTAGAGCAGTTTTTGGAAGTGGACATTTTTGTCCCGAATGACTAATGTGTGAGTTTGTTGTTCAATCTGATTTTGTCCAAAAACTAATAATGTAAAAAAATCAATTTTGATGCCAATCTTTGACATATCCAAGACTGATAAAGAAAGAAAAGAAAGAGCCAGTCCTCAGATATGTATTTTTTGGAAAATAACTCATTTTCTCTGTTTTTAATCATGAAAAACAACAGCGGTTTCATGTATTCAAAATGGCATTTAAAGGGTTAAAATCCTGAAAATGATTACATTTTTGGTATTTTCTATTAGGGCGGGAGTTGCTTTAAAGATTGAACCCAAAAAAGTTGTGAAAAAAACCTTTTAAAATAATGTTTTTATCAAAGTCTTTTGCAGTGGACATTTTTGTCTCGAATGACTAATTTTCGTAGTCCAATCGAATGATACCGGAGGGTTAAATAGCCTCATTCAGATTAATTACTGATTCTATTTTGTAGAACAAACAAAAATCTTGTGTTCACCTCAACACTTATTTCACACATTTAATCAAAAACACGCTAAAAAAAACTTCAAGGCCAACTCAAATCATTTTAAAGTAATGGCGTATATAAAAACTAAAAGGAAGTGACTCACCTGTAGTGTTCCGATGGGAGTGAGGCTGAGACTGGTTGGCGAGGGGGGGAAGTGAGGGAGTGGTGTCACTCTGAGGCGAAGCGTAACTCCGGAGGGGGGGGCTTGATGGTGACGGGCTGCGAGGTGCGGCGGGGGGGCGAGGGTTTGGGCTGGGCATGCTGCTGCATGGTGTCGTAGTACGTCACGCCGCCGTACACCTGGGCCTGACCCTGAGGGACACCACACTTTATTATCACCACCCAACAGAACCAAACATTTACACAACTATATACTGAAATGAGACGTGCCAAAAAAACATCACCGGAAAATTTATTATATTTTACAAATTTGATTATTCAAGTGAAACCTACTTAAGTACATTTATTTTCTCTAAAAGCATGTGGATAATCAATCAATCAATGTTTATTTATATAGCCCAATATCACAAATGTTACATTTGTCTCAGTGGGCTTCACAGTTTGTACAGAATATCAGTATGACAATACGACACCCTCTGTCCTTAGACCCTCTGTCCTTAGACCCTCTGTCCTTAGACCCTCACATCGTACAAGGGAAAATGCTACTGTTAGACAATAAGTGACAAACCAAGTGATGTCAAATATTTGTGTTATACATACAACAAATACTACTTTTACATGTTATGTTGGGTATCTTTTTTATTTTGCAAATGGCTAGTTTGAGCGATATAAAAATCAGCAAGCCAAAGCTGCTTATTTATGTAACAGGCAGCTTGGACCATACAAGTAGAACTGCTGCCATTTCTAGGTTTTTCTAAAAGTCGTTTTTTATAAGAAAGACACATTATTGTTGGTTTGTATCTTATGATCAAATATTTTCACATCAGATGTATAGTATCACGTGTATTATTGGACACGTGCAAACTAGGGGTGCAACAACTAATCGACTTAATCGATTACCAAATTAGTTGCCAACTAATTCAGTCGTCGATTCGTTGGTGACGTCATCACGTGTGTTTTACGCGCCGTTAAGCTCCAACGTTATTGGTCTTTTTATCGGTACTGGAGACATTTAAAAAATATATGTCATGTATTATTGCTACAAAACATTATATCGCAGTCTTAGTGTCGCCAACTCGTTTCTAATATGCAAAGACAACAAATGCGTCTATGATGTATTTTCGATCAGAGGAGATCTCTCTCCCCCGTCTGTGTGCGAGGGGGCGGGGCAGTTTACACACACGCAGCTGCTACATGCAGCGGAGCACACTGCGGACATGGCGGAGAGAACGCGCTCCGAGGTGTGGTTAAACTTTACCCGTCTCGATGTAGAGAATGCTCGTTGCCTAAAGTGCAATAAGAGTTTAGCATGTAAGGGCGGTAACACGAGCAATTTGTCTAAACATTTAGCAAAAGTGCTCCACATCCAGACGGAGGAATGCACCGGGTTCCACCGTCTTTCTAGTAGCTCTGTAGCCCCCCCATCCACGAGTAACGTTTCCACGTCAGGTGTTATGTATGCTAGCAGCAACACACGGAGTTAACTACATTATACAAACATGGGTTAATGATTAGAGGTAACAGAGTTATTTATTTAGATAAAGTTTCAGCTATTCTGTTTACAGTTCTGTCATCAGATTATTTAATACGATTTGTTAAAACGTTGTTTCTTTTGATGTGAAATATTATTTATTTTATTTAAATAAAAAGCAATGTTAATTTTGTTCACAATGTGTTTAGTTAATTTAATAATATGTATTTTTGAATCAAGTATTCATCTTTATTGTCTTCAGTGTTAGTTTCCACATGCCTAAAACAAACTCAAGCTAAATCTAAAAGTTGATGAATAAGAGCGCTTGAGAAATTGTGCAAGGCATAATAGTCCGAATAGTTGATTAGTCGTTTCATTAATCGATAGATTAATCGATTATCAAATTAGTCGTTTGTTGCGGCCCTAGTGCAAATGAATAAACCCATTGAATGAGGTAACATTTGGTATGTTTTTTTGATTTATGTGTTAGTTTTATAGTTTAGTATATATAAAAAAAACGTTTACCCTATTTGTGTAAAAAATAAATAAAAATATTTTCCACAAAAGGTTATTATTTAAACACAGATACGTCATGAAAAGTTTTTATGATTATCTTCGTTAATATCTGGATATTTATAAACTCTACTGTGTTGTATCTAATATTATTGTAGTCATTTGTATTTTTACTTGGATTATTTCTTCTAATTATCCTTGTATGAACTCTTACCTGCCCTCTCCTGATTTCTACTCTTATTGATGCTCTGACACGTGAATATCTTTGATTAATAAACAGGGTATATGCAGGAATCCTGAAGTCAAATGTAATACCTTTTAAGACCTTTTTTAAGACCCTTTCCATACATTTTAAGACCTCATCGCAACTTCGAGTTCTAACCGGTTACATTGGCGACACACTTTACCTCACATTTACTATATTGATTGTAAGATAGCACAACTAAACAGAGTGCAGACGGACTACTGAAGCCTCCTCTCCACATGAACTTCAACCTCTCTGTGAAGGTCAGGTTTAATGCAGCTATGCTGCTTTGTTGCTTCTGTACTCTGTGCTCTTTCATTCCAGTAGAACTCCTCAGAAACCAGTATTTGACTAGTAAACAAAACAATTGACAAAACTTTGAACTATGAAATATATTAAACTTTGGTGAGCTTCAGCGGGGTAATGCCATATAAACAGGGGTGCACATAACTTTTTTGCCCTGGTTCTCAAAGGAGCACCTGGAGATGTTGCTTGGTGCTCATCCTTAAAATGAAATAAACCGTAACTTTTGAGGGGGTCTGGACTTTATTTGCCAGACACACAGCACTGAACACACATGCAGAGGTGAACACAGAACACACATGCAGAGGTGAACACAGAACACACATGCAGAGGTGAACACACGACAACATTAGCACAACCAGTAATCCTACAAGCTGTCATCACTACCCTCCTCACTGTCTTCCTCTCTGTCAGACATGGTAGCTGATGATGTAGGCCTACTTCTTTCTCTCTGGTTGAGTCTGCGATTAGCTGCTTGATTCCACAAGTCAACAGCTGGGTTTGGGTCGAAAGTCTCTGTTGTCATCTTAGACAAGTGGATGTAATCAAATAACTATGTGAACATAACCAATAACCTACCATAGCCAATAACAAATTAATGTAACTTATTTTATGTATGTTGTTCATTCATATCTTATTTTACCTTAACATTTATTTATTTATGCATTTTTTTTTATCTCTCCAGTTTTAAAGGATATTTTTGGTTACTGTCCTATAGTATACATTGGAATGATTTGAAACCTGTTTATCCCAATAATTATAAAGGAGTGCCTTGGAAATATGTGTTTACATAAATTGTGACCAAACCGTTTGAACTTAGACTTTACCTCACTGAGCTGTAGTATCAGCCTCTCAGTCTGACTGGAGAGGACTCTCCCTCCACATTATTGTAGAAACATCTTCTTCTTATATCCGTTAGAGCAGCTAGCACCAGATTCTAATAACAACAGCGCGTACCGGTGCACCCTCCCTCTCTCCCTCGCATTTTGGCTGTGAGCTGCGGGCGCCAGATAAGCCAACATCCCCCATTTTCATCACTTACAGCACCCATCGTACAGGGCAAATGAAAGGTGGAACCGGGGTGAAAAGGGTGTTACATTTACTTAATTATGAATATTGTTACATCAAGGCCGAAAATTAGGATGAACCCCAACGATCAAAATGTTGTTTTCCCTCCCAGAACTGCCAGCGCAGCGCCTCCCCAGATCTGGCGCCCTAGGCGAACATCTAGCCAGCGCTACGGGCCGGCCCTGAGTTCATATCATGGTTCATATGCAACTCGCAAATATCTTTCTCTCTCTTTTCTCTCTCTCATCTCTCCCCTCTCCTCTATTTTCTATTTTCTCTTCTCTCTCAATGTTGGTACGCAAATGCGCCTTGTTTCAAATGACCCGGTGCTCTTTTTTTGGCGGAGGTGCGCATGCGCACCAGTTATGTGCAGCCCTGCATATAGGAGCTCCCTCACAAATGGGGTTAAATTGGGCTGGGGCTGTCCGGGGCTAAGCCCGGCACATAGGACGATGCTCTGACGTTATCATCCTCACACATTTGTCATATGTTTACAAAAAACGATATATATGTTAAGACTTTTCTCGTTCTTAATATAGACTATTTAGGGTCGATATGTGTTGACCTTACTTTAAAATAGCAGATCTCTGTGACCGGATTTGGTTTGGCTTAGACCCCGGCCCCACGAGGACCCATACAGTAAAACACATACGCAAACGCAAAAAAGACTTCCGTTCACAGACACGCATTCGATTCATTAACGTGTCCGTTCACACTAGACCGCTGGAAATGCTGGAAACGCTGGAAACGCTGTAGTACATATGCCAGGCCTGTAAGTGGCGCTGCTGCCGCCACAAAATACACCAAAAGCAGCGAAGAAGACCCCGGAGCATGGTTGTCATGGTTGCCCTTCTGCTTATTCTCCACGGTGGACGGCGTGTTCTCCTGCTGTATATCTCTCAGGTAGTCCATCAGCAGATAAACCCCCCCCCCCCCCCCACAGAGCGGAGCAAGGCAACGAAACTTAAAATAAGAAGCAGCATTTTATGGCACGCTATGCATGGGGCCACCTTGAGGGGGTTTCCCGACATGTTGTTTCAGTAAATTAAAGGGTGTTTCATGTTGTCGTTGCTGTGGACCTTCTTAATACCTTGGAAAATGCCGTTCAATACTTTTTAATAGCCTTAATTTTCGCTAAATTAATTTATCAACTTTTAATACTTTTTAAGACCCCGCGGACACCCTGATAAAGCTTTATTTATCTTATAATGATGAGGTTTAAATGATCAGTTCCTACCTGTTGAGTCGGGTACATGGTGGGGTACGGGAAGGTCATGACCCCCGGAGGTGGGTAAAACGGCGGAGGCAGCAGCTGCTGAGGTTGCCCTGGCAGCGGCGGCAGAGAAACTGGTGGGCCTCCATAGAGGGCGGGGTTAGCAATCGGGCCGCCTGATTGGTGGGGATGGAGACCTGAGAAGATGGAGGAGGAGATGAGTGACAGGAAGCTACAAGTTCTTTATCTTTAAAACTGCAGAGGGCAGCAGACTGACCGGGGTGGGGCATGTGCATCTCAGGCTGGACCAGCATGCTCTGCGGCGGGATGGGGGCGGGGCCATCCCCGTGGGCATATATTGGTCCCTGGTACGACACTGAGAGACAGGCGGAGAGAAGTTATTAACCATAAACCAAACATTTACTCAAGTACTGTACTCCTTTTTGTTCCTATTTCTACTTTCAAACCACAATACACTCAAAAAGAATGTTACTACAGTATTGAATATGTTTATATGCACAAGGCTTACATTTTACAAGGGAAATTAAACTAAATATTACACTTTAAAATAATGTAAATAAATCTCTGCATACTCATAAACAATTTACAAAAACTATTATATAGTTTGATATCCAAAAAACTGTTGATATCTACGTTTTTGATCATTTTTTAAGACAAGAAAAACCGGGAAGACTGGCTTTCTTGTTTTGCACATTAACTTCCAGCTGGAGTTAGTGATTGCAGAAATAGTTTATTTTCAAAAAATAAAACTTAAAAAACTTAAATGTTCCTGTTCTTGTGAGGCTAAGGAAGAGCCAAAATAATGTACACATTTAAACAAGCCAGTTTTCATTCATAATCATATCTATTGGTCCTCTGTGTAGGTACTCATAAATATCGACTCGATCTTTTCCCCCCGAGTGAACTACACTCACTGGTCAGCAGGACGTTTCGGCTGGATTCAAAGTGTAAAAACATCTTCACTCAACACTATATCGACACTATTATTAATAAATCTCTATATAAACAAATGAGTAAACAGACATTTGTTTATGCTTGATCTTTGATGCTCTCTGCTGGTGAGCAGGAGGAAGTGCGTCATTGACTGAATAATTGATGCTTTGAAGGGTTGAGTTATTTTCCACCACGTTAACGTCTTACTGGGTTCATAGTAGTGTCCCTCCCTCACGCCCAGGTGCATGGGCGGCGCCGGCTCCGGCACGGTCCTCTGACGTTGGGACGAGTATCGCTTGGCCCTGTTTGAGCCAACACTGATCTCCTCGATGTTGGAGAACTGAGGCGGGCTGCCCGGGACGTGCATGGTGGGGAGGCCTGTGAACAGGAAACAGTATTCTAGTTCATATATTAAGTCTTCATTTTTTCTGGGTATCTATTGAAACATTTGTGAAAGCGGAATATTGGTGTGGTGATGAAACAGCGTTGGATCATGGGAGTTTTAGTCAGTTTCTCATGGTTAAGATTTCTTCAGTGTCCCCTTTCATCTGATAAAGTGCTAGTTGAGTTTCTTTCTGCACACTGTTTGGCTGCCGCTAACATTTTCTCATATTGTTTCTCTGATACCTCAATATTCAAGCACCAAAATATATCAGTTTAATGTATAGAGTAAAAAGATCTAAAACATAAAACATGGTTCCTCCAAGCCCCTCAAAGTTTTTGTATACATACTAGGGCTGTAACTGAATATCCAAATATTTGTTCCTTGGAGTACTATCCGTCTTCGTCACGTTGTTTCCATAGCAACAACAACTTCCTGTCAACTGCGCTAACTCTACTTCAAAATAAAACCATGTCCATACAAAATAGAAAGCCAAGCCAAATTACACTAAAGACGTATACAACTGCAACGAAAGTAACAAACAGCATGCAATATCCTTTACAATTTCAAAGAAAACAAATTGGGTTACATTAACAAATAACTATAAAACAACAATACTGTAGAATAACAAAAATAATGCCGTGAATAAACCGAAATACACGTGTCGAAACGGTTCGCTGCTGATTACTACGCAAGTCAATTTATGACAGCTTCTGGCAGACGAGATTGACACTGCTCAAAGAGGAACGATGCCATATCAGGTGACCAGATAAAACGCACATTTCCCTGAGACCTTAACCTGTTAGGTCCCAAGCCTGTTTTCAGGGCTCGAGTTTAAGGACGTCCCGCCGTCGAAAAAAATAGTGTCGGGGAGGATAAAAAATAATTTTGGGACGAATTTGGGACGAGTTAAAATAAAAATACCCTGCTAACTCTACTACAAACGGCGATGAAAATGAAACCGACTGCACGTTTTGTGTAGCACACTAAAACCTTAAACCTCACGCACAAAACATTTAGAAACCCACAAAATACACACATGTAGTTACAGCTGTGCCGCTGGCCGTCAGCCAGCCGCACAGCTGGCTGTGCCGCTGGCCGTCAGCCAGCCGCACAGCTGGCTGTGCCCGCGAATTCCTGGCCCGCAAATTCGCGGGTCTAGCTATGTACTGAGTGTAAGGGAAACTTTTGTGTAGCAATGCAGTGGGAGTCACCGACTCAGGAAAGAGACACGGTAGAGCAGGAGCTTTGATGTCAAACACTGGTTTATTTGGAGTTTCGGCCGGAGGATTCACATCACAAGTCACAGCAGTCACGATCTGACTGCACGGGAGAGTTGCCACGTCAATTCTGAAGAACTCTACCCCAGACCCCTGTATTTAGCTAGTTCCGAGAGCATCATCAAACTGCTGCATAACAAGATAAAATCATAACACCTCTATCAGCTGACGTCAACAGGCAGGAACATAGAATCATAACACCTCTATCAGCTAACGCCAACAGGCAGGAACAGTGAGACAGAACACTGAGAGCACAGCAGCCAAGGTTACGAAGTGCGTGTGCTCAGTCAGGACAGTTTGAACTGATAAACTGGGTCAAAGTTATGGGCCTTGGAAAATATTCCCCAACACTGAGTGTGTGTATTTCGCGGGTTGAGTGATGTACAATGGCATCCCGTGGAGGAATTCTGAAATGTTTTACCGTTACATCACAAAAACGCACAGCAGAACCAGACCCTGGAGCGCCGGCCTCTTTATTTACTTACTCCTCTTCATCCCCTATGGGTAATAAGGCTGAGATGAGAACTCTCCATCGTATTTAGTCCTTAGCAATATGCTGCGCCTCTCCATGTAGGGATGGGTACCGAGCCCCGGGCCGGAATTATTAAAGACAGTGGTAACGTTAAGCTCCGACGTTATCGGACTTTTTATCAGTACTGGAGACATCTAAAAAATATATGTCATGTATTATTGCTACATACACATTATATCGCAGTTTTAGTTTCGCCAACTCCGTTTATAATATGCAATAAGACTACAACATGCGTCTATGATGTATTTTCGAGTTTTCCAATCCAGACGAGATCTCTCTCTCCCGTCTGTGTGCGAGGGGGCGGGGCCGTTTGTAAAGGTCTCCTGACTGACAGACTGTCATCCTGGTTAGTGGTTACTCTGGGTTCTGTCTTCAGGACAGTGTTGGATTTTTTTGTTAATTGGATGGGACTTGATTAGATTCAATATTAGAGTAATTTTCTCGTTTGTGTGTTTGTTTAAATATATTTGGCCTTTGTTTATGTGATTGAATGATTTACTCATAAAAAGGTTGATGAATTATCATCTAATGATTTGTATGATGTTTTATTTATGTTAAAGGTCACTTTGAATGATTTTAACTAATGATAATGTAGAAAAACTAATATTTTAAATTCGGGACGGTCCACATTAATTTCGGGACGGCTTAGATTGTATTTCGGGACGGTTCCGGGAGGATGGGGAAAAAAGTTAGTCGAGAGCCCTGCCTGTTTTTCAGGTTTCAGGCTCGAAAACGACATTCCCAGAACAAATTACCATATCTTCCCTTCTAAAAAGGGTTAAATTAATAATCTTTTTTCTCAAAGTAATGATAAACCTGTGAGTTGGATGTAGAAAAGTCAGAATCAATATAAATGTTTTTATTTTAAAGAAAATTCAGATTGAACATGGTAAAAAAAACTAGGGATGCACGATATTGGTTTTTTGAAACCGATACCGATAACTTCCTGCTTCTCAAGACCGATACCCGATAATAATATAATATATATATTAGGGCCGGGACTCGATTAAAAAAAATTAATCTAATTAATTAGAGGCTTTGTAATTAATTAATCGAAATTAATCGCATTTTTAATCACATATACATATTTGACCTAAGAACAGTGAGAAGCAATTTTTTTCACATGGATTTTAGTATACCATTAGGCGCATTCACACCGCAGTACTTTTCCCACAAAGGTTCATGAGAACTTAGTTCATGAGAACTCTTTGAACCTGGGGGTGGATTAGGCAAATGAAGCCGCTGACGTCACTTCTTCTTCTTCTGCTTTGGGTTTACTGGCAGGCCGCAAACCACTTCACGGCGTATACTGCCGCCCGGAGTCCCCGGCCGGAAGTCCCCGGAGTTGGGGACTGGCTTCAGTAGAAGCTGCTGGGAGTCCCAGCAGCCTTCCGAGTAAATCGCCAGAACGCCGACACCTCCTCATCTCCACCGCTCCCATGTTTTATTTTGTGTTGCCATAAGTTAGTCTCTCTGCGTTTCTGCGCTGGGCTAATGCTAATAATGCTAATGCGAGGATAATAAAATGGCGGCTTCACAAAACTTTTTGGGAGTTTTACGGGGCGTGGTTTGCAATCCGCCCAGCCAATCAGAAATATAGCTCTTTTCTCACAAGAGAGCCGTACGAAAGTCCCTGCTCTCTAGCAGCTCTCTGCTCTCTAGCAGGGACTTTCGTGGGGGTAAAAAGGTTCTCATGAACTAATTTTAGTACCGGCTCTTTTTGGTGTGAACGCGATAAAAGAGGCTAACGTCCACGCTAGCTTCCACGCTAGCTGCTATATGTTTTGCATTGAGGTGATACTTGAGGCTTGATGTGCTGCGGTGATATGCGAATTCCTTTTTGCATAATTTGCACACAACCGTGCTCTTATCGACGCTTCCATCCGTCCGTTTTTTAAAACAACATTTCCCACTTGTTCACTGTGGTTTGTTGTTGTCTGAAGTCATGAACGTTAGTTGGTGCTCCAGTATAATCGGTACGCCTGAAACTCATCCAGTGAGAAACGTTCCGCGGTGCAAAAATAAGTGCGATTAAAATGCGTTAATTTTTTTTAACGCGTTAATTTTTATGTAATTAATTAATCTTAATTAACGCGTTAAAGTCCCGGCCCTAATATATATATATATATTAAATGTACCTGTAGTTTTTGCACACCTGGTGGTAAAAAAAAGACTAGTAGTGAGCAAATGACATGAGCATTACTACTATGAACAAAACAAAGCCAAGAACAGTTTTGACTCTCGTCAAGCGCCATCATTTCTATGATAAAGTTAGAGATCGTTTTAGCCCTGGGGTCGTCTCTGGCAAACTTCTTGCCTTTTTCAAAAGCCTCGTCGATAGGTAAAAGCCCCGGTGCCTTTGCAGCTGGCTTTGGATTCGCCGCTAGTTTAGCAGCGCAGGCGTCTTCCTACGCTTTTAACACACCATCGTAGCGATGGCGATGTTTCAGGTGACTAATCAGGTTGGAAGTATTATAGCTAGTTGCCTTTTTCCCTCCTCGTGGAACTTCTGCATTGCATTTGTTAATACAAATAGCAAGCGAACTATCTAACTCTGAAACTTTGAAATAGTCCCATACTACCGGGCGACATGTTTGTTTACTGTCCTGGCTTCACGGCCGCACACCATTTACGTCACAGCCAGGCATGAGTTAGGGAGCGCTGGATTTGTGAAAAACTCCCCTCTTCCTTTAAACCACTAATACCACAGTACTGGCAAAACGGGAGGAGCCGAGTGAAAAACAAGCGCCCCTCATCCCAATCCACCCACACCGCAGTATTTTTTTCTTTTTTTTTTACCCAAAAAATATATTGTATATTATCGGGGCTATTAATACTGTTATCGGGTTTATCGGGATGACGTCATAATTCCTAATATCGGACCGATAATTATCGGGCCGATAATTATCGTGCACCACTATAAAAACTGTAAATTATAGTGTCCGTCCAAAAAATATTTTGTACTTATAGTGAAAACTAACCTTGGATTAGGGCTGAACGATATACCGTGTCATGGCGATAACCGCGGTATGCGCATGCGCGGTATTCACACTGCAGGGACGTGCGGTTTTATTCATTTTAAAAAAAAAATCTAACGCACTTTAGCACAGAATTCAAAATAAAGATACCCTTATTACTTTTCGAAACTGCACATACAATATATCCGATTAAAGCTGAGACTCCACAGATTATTTAAGTATAGTATTTAAGCGATCCGATCTCGCAACAGGGGAAGCAAACACAGACATCACAACACGTACCTTTTACGGGAGATCGTCTCACCGTAGCTGTCAATCTGATCAAAAGACGTGTTCCATGGCATTAAAACGAGAAAGAAAAAACGCGGCTGAATCGGTTGATCCATAGGTTGATAATGTATCTGTGGCTTTGAAGCAATTGTTTATAATCCATAATTCCATTTTAATGTAAAAATCGGTGCACAAAGGTTAGCTGCTAATGGTAGCCACCAGAGTGTATGCAGCTTCCGGTTTTGGCTACGCGTCACTCTCACTCCTTATTTGTTCATGTGTTGGGGTGTGTGTAGAACTTCCCCTGCATGCACAGCAAACCACCAATCACAATCATTCTTGATCAGATCACAGCAGGCCAAGACCGGAAGCAGCAGCCACTCTGGTGGCTACCATTAGCAGCTAACTTTTGCTCTGCGATATTTACATAAATTAAATCATTTTTTTTACACAGAGACGTTAAAAACCTATGGATTAACCGATTCAGCCGCATTTTTTCTTTCTCGTTTTAATGCCATTGAACACGTCATTTGATCAGATTGACAACTACGTTGAGACATCTCCCCTAGAAGCTACGTAAAGGTACGTGTTGTGATGTCTGTGTTTGCTTCCCTTGTCCGAGTTCAGATCACTCAGTGATGATACTATATACCTAAATAATCTGTGGAACCTCAGCTTTAATCGGATATCTTGTAAGTGCAGCTACGATAAGTAATAATAAGGGTACTTTTATCTTGAGTTCTGCGCCAAAGTGCGTTAGCATTTTTCGCTCAGGGGTCATTTAGATGCTTCTTATGAGACTTGTGTTTTGTTTTGGTAAAAATGGTTTGTATCGTCAATTAGCTGAGATTATTTTCGTTAATCTGGTATAACACATTAATAGGTTCTTAAATATTAAGATCCCCTGAGACACTGTCGTGAAAAAAAAAAGTAAAGTACCCGCCGGGACTTTGGGGTTTAACAGGTTAAAAAAACCGCAATATATACCGCAGGGGGGGGGGGGGGGGGGGGGGAAATCGCGATGTCAGTTTTTCTCAATACCGTGCAGCCCTACCTTGGATGATGGGTTAGTAGACTAAAAGCTTTAGGAATCCAAAGTACAACATATAATGAGTACCCTGTATCAAGATTGATGCAAAACAAGTGATATTTGACCTTTTTAGACAGATTTTGCAAAAAAAACCTCTTCTGGGGCCATTTGGGTGGATTTTCCATATCTCTGGCCCCCCTTGTTCGATTTTGACATGTGAAATATTTTTCTGACCGTTAGAGCCAATAGAATCCAAGAGAAATCGTCCCGCACACACTCATGTAAAAAAAAAAAGGTAGCCTCTCTGCGCATGCTAGCTTTCAGCAGAGGGGAGAAATATCGCTGCTCTGATATCAAGCAACGGAAAAGCTGTTTTATTGCTTATAGATTATCAGAACATTTCAAAGGGGACGCAGACACATTGGATTAACCTATGGATTAACTACAGCATCATTTTTATTGTTTTAATGCCATTGAAGACCAGTTTAGACCAGACAAAGACGAAGGTAAGCCATGTTAGCGTTGTGGGCTACCTAGCGTCACTTGTTTTGATGTACGTTTTTGTTGATAACGTGGCGAGTTTGTATCTTTCAGTGTTGAGGTGGGCACCGTTAGATTCTGTGTCTCCTTGCGATCATAAACGATGTGTTGGATGTGCACCTAGGATAAGTAACAAGGGAGCTAGGAGTGATTATCGGTGCAGTAATAGGTTAGCATTTTTCGCTCGGGTCATTTAGATGCTTCTTATGAGACTTGTGTTTTGTTTTGGTAAAAATGGTTTGTATCGTCAGTTAGCTGAGATTATTCCCGTTAATCTGGTATAACACATTAATAGGTTCTTAAATATTAAGATCCCCTGAGACACAGTGTAGTGAAAAAAAAAACTAAAGTACCCGCCAGTGGGGACCTTCGGGCTTAACAGGTTAATAATAAAACATGAAGGGCATAATCAAAGCACACCACTCACCCCTCATTTCGGAGCGGAAGTACGACGTTGGGTTGGGGCTCCAGCTCTGTCCTACCAGACTGAGCCGAGCCAATTCCTGTACCTGCTCCCCCGGCCCGCCACCTCCTCCCACCTGACTGGGCCCGTTACCTTCCCCTGACCAGCTCTTCCCCCCCACGTCTCCGGGGGAGGAAGAGTTCACTCTGGCTGCAGAATCCTCCACAGACGGCTGTTTACTGCCCAGGTCGGAGGGCCGAGAGCGAGTCTTGCGGGCCGCCAAGTAAGATTTACGTTCCACCGGCCGCTCTGCAGGGGGGGAAGCTTCCCGATTGGTCTGTGCCGACTGTTGGGGGGGGTCGGAGGAAGAGGAAGACATGTCGCCACTCCCTCGTTGTTCCTGCTGCTGTCGTCTCGGAGACGCAGACGGGTAACCACCCTGCTGTGACGTCGTTACAACCCCGGGGTCCGCTTCCTTCGAGCCTCCTTGGCTGAATGTAATGTCCTCAACCAGCACAGAGGGCGCCCTCCCACCACCACGTCCCCCCCTGATGACCACTCCCCTGTCTCCTGTAGGCTCGCACTGAGCTTTAGGGCCCGGTCGTTCTCTGGGGTGAGGTGCGTATAATTCATTATTCCTGTACTGGGACTGAGGCGGATGTTGCATGTGATTCTGCTGGGGCTGGGATGGTCTGCTGCGGGGGGGAGGCTGTCTGGAGGCGTTGCTGCTCCGCTGATTGGAAGTGAGGGGAAGATTGGAAGGGGATGTGGAAGAGGTTGGAGCTCCTCCTCGGCCTCCTCCTCCGCTGTGCCAGGATCGGACGGGTCGCTCTCCTCCGTCCCCCCAGCGCTTGTCTCTGCCTGGAGACAAACTCTGTCTGCAGGGAAACATTAGAGAGAATCCACAGTAGATTTTAGAAAAAGGAAACAGATACAAAGTATCGGTTGAGGTCGAATAGTCTATTTTACTGAAGAAGGTTATTATCCGAGCAAAATTACCCAGAAGTAACTTAGGGCAGGTCGGGGATTTCTTTGACTATTCCATCACAACTAGTTTCTCTTTTTTTAAAGAAAGGAATGATTAATTTGTTTTATTTTACATTGATTATCTGTTATTGCACACTGTTGATCATTTTGGTCGGAGAAACTGAGAAGGACATTATCATAATAACAGGATAAAGAGACAGTTATTTGTGGGGGGAACCAGGGAGATGTTACCTTCAGGGTCAGACTACACAAATACATCATCCCTGCAGCACTTTACTAAGGATCACTGAAATACATTCTAAATGATGGATTATTATTCTCGCTCACCTCGGCCTGCGTTGCCGGTACGGCCGCTCTCCGGAGCCGCCGCCGTTCCTGATGTCGTAGCCGTAGATGGCGATGAGCTCCTCGCGGCTTTTGGGCGCCTGCTCCTCCTCCCTGAACCTGTCGTGGTCCCAGCGACCCTCGTCCTTCCACAACTTTCTGTTCCGACCTTTAGGCCTGTGAGGGCAGACAGGGAGCCATGTTAAATGGCAATGTTTAATATATATATATATATTAGGGGTGTAACGGTTCACAAACATTTCGGTTCGGTACGTACCTCGGTTTTTAGGTCACGGTTCGGTTCGGTACAGCAGAATTTTTTTTCACAAAACATATATATATATATATATATTTTTTATTATTATTAAACTGTGAATAATGTATTCACTCAAATAAATACAAAATATAATGAAATAAACATTAAGGTGCAGCATTTCGATGAACTGAAATAATCTGTATTTGAACTTTACTGTAGGCTACTAGTACTCACAAAACATAAACTATTAGTTTTGGGTTTTATATTTTGTATTAAACTGTGAATCTTCACTAAAAAAAATACAAAATAAAATAAAATAAACATTAAGGTGCAGCTTTTCGATGAACTGAAATAATCTGTATTTGAACTGTACTGTACTAGTTCCTAAGCAGCCAGCTTGACATTATGACTTGCTTGTCATTGTATTTTCATGTTTTTTTAAAGAAAGATTAACTTGTCCACATTGCTTGCCGAAAGGGCAGATCTGCTGGCACTAACAATGTCTCCTGCTGTGGAGAAAACCCTCTCGCTAGGGACAGAGGTAGCAGAAAACAGCCAGGTAGCGCTTTGCTAACATGGCAACATAAGGATATTTGGCGTTTGTAATAGCTTTGGCTCGGTCTAGAACTCTCTGCGAGTGGTGGAGGCTTAAATGCTAGTGGGAGTTGGGTTTGCACTTCAGTCTTTTTTCTTTTGGTACCGGTGATATTCACGTTCGGGTGATGCCTTTTCAAGAGTGTGCAAGTTTGATGTATTGCCAGCCGCGTAACCAATTTTAGTTGAACAATGCCGACAAACAGCTTTGGTTCGGTCCACCTGTCTTTGTCCTTCATCCTTGTACGTAACTGCGAAACCAAAATGTTCCCAAACCGGAGACTTCAATGATGCTGGAGGATTTTCGAGCTCAACTTTATCTGCGTTCGCCATTAATTTTCGACAGTTCCTAAAATTACTGACTACATTTGAACGCATCCCTCTGACCAGCTCTCATAGTATGCCTCTCATCCAATGAAATGACTTGCTCGCTCTATGACGCGTTGAACCCAATGTGAGCAAATTACTCTGAATGCTGCGACGCAGCACCTGAGATTACTTCCAAAAAGTTGTTCACGTTCTCAATTTTTTACGTTTAACGTTATATTCGTTCGGTACACTTCGGTACACACCTGTACCGAACCGAAGGGCCCGTACCGAATAATTTCGGTACCGGTACGTGTACCGTTACACCCCTAATATATATATATATATATATATATATATTAGGGATGGGAATTTGAAAGTAAATGTATATTTGAATATTCGACCCCCAAAAAAACGGTTAACCGATTAACCGAAATGTACATATCCTATAAAAAAAAAAATGTGGGTAAAACATTTACAAAAAATTAATTAAAATCAGGGCTCGAGCTGAAGGACGTCCCGTCGTCGAAAAAAATAGTCTCGGGGAGGATAAAAACTAATTTTGGGACGAATTTGGGACAAGAGTTAAAATAAAAATACCCTGCTAACTCTACTACAGACGGCGATGAAAATGAAACCGACTGCACGTTTTGTGTAGCACAGTTATTAAACCTCCTTGTCAACATAAACACACACGCACAAAACATTTAGCAACCCGCGAAATACACACATACACGTGTTGTCACGATACCAACATTTTGGTTTCGATACCGATACCAAGTCAAGAATTGCGATTCCGATTCTTTTTCGATACTTTTCACAAAAAAAAGGGAAAGTCTTAAATGTAATTATTGTGCTTTATTTCACACCAGAACCATAACACAAACTTTTAAACAATGAGAACAATAAACTAAATAAATGACAAGAATTCGTATTAAATCAAATTAAGCATCATCTCAAACAACTTTTTTGTTTTATAAAATATAATTTTTTTAATATTTTATTAACAAGTAATAGTATCCCGTAATAGTATAAATAATTATTGACAAAATGTATATTGCAGATGTTAGCCACATTGGTAAGTTAGCTAAAAAGATATTAGACAGTTATCATTGCCATTAATTGCCTCGTCAAACTACGAAAACGTTTGTTTGTCACAAAATAAATTACACTTGTTTGACTTAGATTTGAGGGCATGGGCTTGAGCATGATGTAATTATGTTATCTATCACATTCGCTAACCTGTCTGTTTTTAAATTCTTTAAACAGCTCTGGATGCCGGTCGGCGGGTGCTTAGCCAAGTTTGATGTGTTGGCTCCCTTGGTTTGCAGGGATCTAAAACATGTCTCACAGACAGGCCTCGTGGTGTCCGTAGGCTTGCCCTCACTGTCAGAGATATAGCTCAAATACTTCCAAATTTAGCTTCTGGCGTCTTTTTTGTCAACAAGCCGAGGCGCAGCGGCAGTTGCACTCCCACTTGCAGCCATGCTTCTCGTTTTCTCACATGCTCTGGCAGCTAGCGCGTGGCCGCGTGCACGAGAGAGGAGAGGGACTTAGAACGTGATTGAGAGGGGCGGGACTGCAGGCACGGCTGCAGTGCAGGGAGTGGAAGCAGAGCGCTGAACACACACGGCTCTTATTAAAACGGCGCTTTATCACCGGAGTACTTTTCCCCGTCATTCTTAAAGTACCGATACTAATGAAACAGAGGAATCGTACCGTTTTTAACGGCAGGGTATCGCGGTACCTTTCAAGTATCGGTACACCGTGCAACACTAACACACACACACACACACACACTGTACGTAGCTACAGCTGTGCCGTTGCCCGCAAATTCCTGGCCCACAAATTTGCAGGTCTAGCTATGTACTGAGTGTGTGTATTTTGCGGGTTGAGTGATGTACAATGGCATCCCGTGGAGGAATTCTGAAATGTTTTACCGTTACATCACAAAAACGCACAGCAGAACCAGACCCTGGAGCGCCGGCCTCTTTATTTACTTACTCCTCTTCATCCCCTATGGGTTATAAGGAAGAGAACCCTCCATCGTATTTAGTCCTTAGCAATATGCTGCCTCTCCCCATGTAGGGATGGGAACCGAGCCCCGGGCCGGAATTATTAAAGACAGTGGTAACATTAAGCTCCGACGTTATCGGACTTTTTGTCGGTACTAGGGACATCTAAAAAATATATGTCATATGTATTATTTCTACATAAACATTATATCGCAGTTTTAGTTTCGCCAACTCCGTTTCTAATATGCAATAAGACTACAACATGCGTATATGATGTATTTTCGAGATTTCCAATCCAGACGAGATCTCTCTCCCGTCTGTGTGCGAGGGGGCGGGGCAGTTTGTAAAGGTCTCCTGACTGTGTTACAGACTAGGGATGCTCCGATCGCCAATTTCGGGGCCGATCGCCGGAATCGGTATCGGCCGATACCGATCCGATCACATCACTTTAAATCTTCCATTTAAAGTGATGTTTAAACTCAGTTAATGGGGCTCATTCACTGGAGCTTCCAGAAACAACAATCAACTTAATTATTACATTCAAATGATGTACATTATTCAAGTTTACATTCACTTTGGATAATAACACCGGAGAAATTAGCGGAAGCGCTCTCTTTTCCTCTCTCCCTCTCTCTCCCCCCTCTCTCCCTCCTGACAGCCTGTCAGTATCTCATGCAGCTCACTGATCCAGTAATGAGTGACCCGACAGTGAAGAATAAATATATTTATAATAACTAGTTTAGCTTGTTCCAGAGGTAGATAAAATAGCTAAGTAGGTCTAACTCTTGTGTGTTTCGCTCTGCTCACCGGTCCGTCTCAGCGGTCCGTCTCAGCGGGTGGAGCTGCATGATTTCTGCTTCACACTCGTTGCATTCCGCTATTTTACTGTCTTTTTCGGACACCTTGAAATACTGCCAGACCGGTGAAGCCATTTTGGAGAGTTTTTTTTTGTCGCACACAGAGAAAAGTGTCATGTATTTTACGTCATGCGATCGGCATGTTTAGAGAGCACCGATCGATCGGTAGAGAGTTAGTGGTTACTCTGGGTTCTGTCTTCAGGACAGTGTTGGATTTTTTTGTTAATTGGATGGGACTTGATTGGATTCAATATTAGAGTAATTTTCTCGTGTGTGTTTAAATATATTTGGCCTTTGTTTATGTGATTGAATGATTTACTCAAATAAAAAGGTTGATGAATTATCATCTAATGATTTGTATGATGTTTTATTTATGTTAAAGTTCACTTTGAATGATTTTAACTAATGATAATGTAGAAAAATTAACATTTTAAATTCGGGACGGTCCACATTAATTTCGGGACGGCTTAGATTGTATTTCGGGACGGTTCCGGGAGGATGGGGAAAAAAGTTAGTCGAGAGCCCTGATTAAAATGTTTTAATTTTGAAAAATAAATACATGTTCAAATAAGTATAGAAACCAAGTCGAATTTGTCTAATATATTGAACTGGTAATCACAGTTTGAACAGTTGACAGCTATAGGCCTACAGCTTTCATGCTTAAAACATAACTTGGTTTTAAATTAAAGAGGGATCATACAAACAACATAACCTGTTAGGGTAACGTAACCCTATTACAACAGAGATCAACAACCTATAACAGGGCCAATGCACTAGGGTTGTCCCGAATACCATTTTTCGGGCTCCGGATATTCGGTAGTAATCAGCAGCGAATATTCGGGGGGGGGGGGGAATGCGTAGTAATCAGCAGCGAACCGCTTCAACACGTGTATTTCGGTTTATTCACGGCATTCATTTTGTTATTCTACAGTATTGTTGTTTTATAGTTATTTGTTAATGTAACCCAATTTGTGTTCTTTGAAATTGAAAAGGATATTGTGTTTGTTACATTTGTATATGTCTTAAGTGTAATTTGGCTTGGCTTCCTATTTTGTATGGACATGCTTTTATTTTGATGGAGAGTTAGCGCTGTTGACAGGAAGTTGTTGTTGCTATGGAAACAACGTGACGGAGAAAAGTAATATCTACATATAAAGACGGAGAAAGGAAACGATAACGTTTATGGTTAAGTGTTAGCACCCCCCGAAGAGGCACAAGCTCTTACGTTGATATTGGAGATTTCAATAAATTCAATTTGGAAAAAAAAAAAAGGGGTAAAAACAAACAAAACGAATAACGAAATTGAAACCCGAATAGTACTCCAACGAACGAATATTCGGGTACAGCCCTACTATGCTCAGAATGCAGCTATTCAATACTCATTCTTGTTTAAGAATATGAGCATGTCTACATGCTCAGGGGAGAGGCGGGTGCGGAGACGATTCACAACAGGGCTCGACATTAAGGACTGCCCGATGGCCCGGGGCCATCTAGTATTTAGCTCGGGCAATGAAGCCTCACCTGCTGGTTGCCCGATCGGGCAATGAAGCCTCACCTGCTGGTTGCCCGATCGGGCAATGAAGCCTCACCTGCTGGTTGCCCGATCGGGCAATGAAGCCTCACCTGCTGGTTGCCCGATCGGGCAATGAAGCCTCACCTGCTGGTTGCCCGATCGGGCAATGAAGCCTCACCTGCTGGTTGCCCGATCGGGCAATGAAGCCTCACCTGCTGGTTGCCCGATCGGGCAATGAAGCCTCACCTGCTGGTTGCCCGATCGGGCAATGAAGCCTCACCTGCTGGTTGCCCGATCGGGCAATGAAGCCTCACCTGCTGGTTGCCCGATCGGGCAATGAAGCCTCACCTGCTGGTTGCCCGATCGGGCAATGAAGCCTCACCTGCTGGTTGCCCGATCGGGCAATGAAGCCTCACCTGCTGGTTGCCCGATCGGGCAATCTATTATGCCAGTATCATGCAGCTCGCGGATCCAGTAATGAGTGACCCGACAGTAAAACTAAACATATCTATAACTATTTACGGTAGTTTGAGAGGTAATTAAAATAGCTACGTGTGATATTCTAACCTGAAGTGTGTATTTTGTCCGCTCAACGCTGCATGTGATCATGCAGAGCTGCGTGTCGACTCGTCAGCAGCAGCTGATCTCTCTCTCTCTCCCGTCAGATTAGACTTCACTTGCGTTTATGTCCATATCGATCAGATCCAGCTAGTTCTAGCTAATGATATGACTACCTGCTTATTAAAAGACACCTAAACAATAAGTGTCGCTATGCAACTGGGTGAGGCCACAAAGTATAGCGCAGCATTATGCATTTGTTTACATGCCCACCGGAACCCCGAGGCATTACCAACAGATCAACGCACAATCAACCCATTAGGGCTGTGCATCTTCACTGGTCTCACGATTCGATTACGATTATCCTGTCAACGATTCGATTCAATTCGATATCCCGATGCATACCAATGCGTTGCATCCTCAATTTTCTATATTACTGCACATGGCTTATTTTTCATCAATGCATACATGCAGTAAATACATATGAACTCTCTTTTTACCTATTTATTAAGTGCTTCAGAAATCAATAACATAAATGTATTGACATTAATTTATAAACCAAAATAAATGAATTGTATAGGTCTAGCCTCCCTATATCTGTGTGTGAAGTTGTTCCATCCTCAAAAACAAAAAAATAATGCTTCTGCAGTCTAGCTGCAGCTTCTAGCAACAGTCTTCTGTTAAAAAAAGGACACTGAATGTGGCATCACACACAGGACTTGAGTCTGAACACAGCAGACAACAGGAGTATTTACAACAGCATATAACAACTAAAATACTGCATGTGGGTGCACACTTACATTCTCTGTCTTACTGTTACATAAATCCCATGAATGTATGAGATTAAGTTAGCTTCATTATATCTCAGTGATTAAGTGAATAATAAAGTTTCTATCGGGTCACTATCAGCCTGTCATTATTTTCAGGGAGGGGGCGGGGTTTGGAGGAACGGAGAGGAGACGGTGATCGCGGAAGCTTTTTTCCTCCTGCCTTCACAAACTTTACACACGTATCGTCTGAAAATTGCTAGAGGACATTCATACTTTGCAATCCAAGACTTAATTAAATCCATCAAAAACCTGACATGATTGTAACGCGATTATTTTTGAAAAACTTAAATCCCTGTGCCGCAACGACACGGAGTGATTCAGAGCGGGTCCTTCTGCTGTTGGTTCTGGACTGGTGTTCTTGTGTTGGTGGATAAAGCAGACTGCTCCGTGTTTGGTGTTGCTGTGCCGCTGTCCCGTCTGTTCCCTAATCTCTGCGTCACCGACCGATTTGATATTAAAGTGACAGAAAAAAAAACGTTATAGTAAAGCCGCGGCCGGAAAATCAGGAAGCAACGTTACTACGCTATAACCGATTATCTTCCGTCACTGCATCGATACCGAATCGTCCACGTCCGCAACGCATCGTAGAAACGATTATTTTCAACACCCCTACAACCCATACAGGACATCTCTTTCTCCACATTAAGTGTTAGACATTAGAATTGACTATTCATGTCTGTCACATACTCTTCTTGTCTGTCACATAAGTGGCGCAACTGAAGCGGAAGGGAAATTATTTTTGACCGAAGAGATTTAGATTTGCCGGCTAACGGGAACTCTGACGTCGCCATTTTGTGTGCTTCGCGGATGCGCTCGGCTCCTCTCGACTGCTGCTCGGTCAGCTTCCGGATGAGGAGGCATTCGTTCGACCAACTTACAGTAGATAACATTACACATTTTTTTAACAGGGGCCATAATAGTGTAAATAATGTTTGTTTTGGTAGTTATAACTGAATGTAATGTTTTCTACTTTTGTACATCTGGGAAGGCATTTGCCTTCATCAGTTGGAAAGTGTCTTGACCAACAACTTAAGTATTTCTTATAGCTATGCAGGGCATGCAAGCGAGCAAACACAAACAAGAACAAACAAGTGAAATGAAGAATATAATTGAAATTGTACAATATAATATTGTGGTGGTTCATCTTATAATTCAGTCTAGAGAATGCACCAGACAGCATCTAAGACCTGCACAAATCTTAATTTCCCCCAAACCCTTCGTGCGTCATTTCGTCCGTGCGCAATTTTCAGGGCAATCTCTATTGGGCTCAGGGCCATCTGTAAATTAGCTTAGATGGCCCACAGGCCCTAATCCTCTTCCGTATTGTAGTTATGATCAGTAGTGAAGTTTGTAAAAAGATTTAGTGGAAAATAATATTAACATATAAAATGTATGATTGTTATTTTGACATCAGAGCAACTTATCAAAAATAAATAACATTAATAATGCCGACAAAGACCAAAATAATAATAATAATAAATCCCAATAACTCACCTCTCCTCCTCCTGAGCGTGTCCCCTGACGTCATGCTCGAAGAACAGGCCCTTCCTCGGGATGTAGGCCGGGTTCTTCCGGTCCTCGTCGTCGTCCAGCTTCTGTCCAGGTATCCCTCCCGCCTTCGTCTCTGGGTCGTCCGTAGACTCCTGAGCGGGGGGGGGGGGGGGGGGGGGGGGGGGGGGGACATTTTTGTCAGAACAGAAAACATGACGGCAGAAACAGCTCAATGACAGATTTCAGACTACTGTTTTTGACCAATCGGTTTACAGTCCACATATTCATTTACTAATACAATAAGCAGCATTTTATTCCAGTCTAAAGTACATCCTGCTTTTTTTATTCTATTTTACATGTATCAGTGATGCAAACACAGGTATGGTGAAAAAAGAGAGAACTATTCGAAGCAGAAAAAAACTGCATAATATACCATCTGACAAAGGCCTGTGCTAAAATTAAGCAATAGCTCACGACAGGCCGTGGTATATGCTCATTATATCACAGCTAAGGGGCGTGGTTCGGCCTGACGCGAAGCGGAGGGTCGACAACCCCCTTGCTTTTATAAAACGGTTACCAAGTGTGGCAATATGAAAGAAAAATACACACTCCAATTTAAATAGTTTTTATTAGTAAATAATGATGTTCAAAATAAAATAGTCCCTCCGTTGCCTTCTGCACGAAACATAGTGCGAGGAGGTGGTTGCTATGCAACAACACTAACAGCTATAGCGAACATATTAGACAGAGCGTTGATCGATTATTTGGCTATTTATTTACATTCATTTGTATGTTGCCGTTTATTGTGCACCCACTGAAAAACTGTCCAGCATCAGTAGCATGGCTTAAGTGGTTACTTGTATAGGTTGAGGTTGTTCTCGGCTGTTGCTTGGCGTGGCGACAATATTGCTCCACTTTCTCCGGTCCCCGAGATTCGGCTTCCAGTAGCTCTGGAGAGAGCTTTCGCACCTGTGGCCACTAACGGTCATCATTTTCTGCTTTGTTTCAAGACCCGCATCAGAAAGCTTTTGAATGGTGTTACTTTTCCAGTTGGTCTACCTGCTCTTCACGTAGCTCTGCATGTTGTCGTTTAGGTGCTTTTTTTTTCTGGAGATAGGCATTCCTCAATCCACTCCTCCATAGTAAGACCCCCCCGGAGGTCGAAGTTAATCTTAAATGTTTCCATCTTATGCTTTATAAGTTTGTTTCGTAATGGAAGAAATGTAAATATATTTATAAAACTGACAAGTCAAATCAAGCAATCTGATTGGTCGATGGCGTTTTTGCGGACCTCTTTGAATACAGATTTGAAAACATCGTTGCTTGCTTTAAAAGTAGCACAATTCATTATGTCAAACCTTGGAAAGTATCTAGATATCCCTGCCATAATGCCAAAGGAACTGCACACTGAATATGTTTTGCCGTTTGATGTCTATGTCTGGGCCGCTGCGTAAAAAGCATAGACTGTATATATAAATGGACGTAGGGTCTGTGACGTCACCCATAGGATTCTGCAGAGTTGCCGTGAAGCCCTTAGTAGGCGGAGTCGGCCACTAACGGCTCGACGGTGTCGTCAGAGTCTAACTCCCGCTTTCTCCCGCCTTCTCCAAATAAGGGCAAAGAGGCGGAGCTGAGGCGGAGCCGAGGCGGGACAGGGCGGGACCTGCTGCCAACGAGCGTGACGTTCGAGTCCTAGCTCAGGCTAAGAAGCTAAGCTAACATGCTCTCAGTATCAATCGAATGTAAAACATGATTGATGAAAGTAGTAAATCGGTCAGATTTGACCCGAAGACAACAGGAGGGTTAATGCCATATTCACTTAGTAAAGCATGAACAACTTTTACAAATATTTCTATATAGTCTGTGTTGGTAAATGTCATCTATGTTGCACATTTCCTGCTGAAATACATGCATACCAAGTCACTGCGTGGCACTTTGGTTTTGATAAAACAGTGTAGTTCCACTATATAAACGTTACATTCATAATCAAACGAGACAATCTGCAAGATAATTAGCTATTTGGTATTATTCTTAATGCTTGTCATTCACACGTTAATAAAATAAAAATAAGTACCGATACATAGCAGAATAATTGTGGCGGTGTTCAGCTTAATAAGCCTTGCTCAACATCATTTATTTAGCTAATACTACAGCGGGCTGCAGGCGAACCAAGTCCGCGTTACGATGCATTCCTTGTACTCCAGTTATAACGGCGGACTCCGCCGCTGGCCGAAGCTAACGGAGCCCCAGGGTGCTAGCTACGGCCGCCGGGACGCACTAGCGAGCTAGCCCCCTGCAGCCCCGTTAGCTTCGGCGGCGTGGACTCCGGCGGCCCACCCCTTTTAACATTCGCTCCCGTTTAGCATTATGGGCGTCATAGCCATATAGTATAAAAGTCTTACCCAAGGCTGAATCATAAACTAAACTGTATATATGTATAAAGGGTTACGTCCTTAGCTGGCTAATAAGCTACATAACAGGCTAAGCTAATAAGCACACAAACAACTGCTAACGGGGTTAACATGTATAATATTATCATTTTACTCACCGAAAAAAGCTGAAAGTAGACTTCTTGGAAGATCTGTTAGTACATTCAAGCACACAGCACGACATTTTAATTATCTGGTATTTGTAACAATATTCCCTAACAGGCACGATCACCACGAACACAGCTAAAGGATCAAGTACAGTAACTACAACTAACTAACGTTGTAGCCTTCTATGGTTGTAGCCTAGCAGATTGGACAAGTTGCTGTTAGCTGACAGTGAGGCACGTATCTGTCAATCAAAGTGACCACGCCCTAATGTATGCATAAACTTTAAGACCTAATATAAATATAAAGGGTCGCGTTAGAAAACAATTCACTCACAGATCCATAATCATGAAGGTGGAATCTAACTATATCGATAATAAAATGTATGGAGCCAGGGGTGGAAACATGTTTTTTTCTGCTGTAAAATCGGTCATTTTAACATGGGGGTCTATGGAAATTGCTCCTTTCTGCAGCCATCGCCTATCGGCCAATATATGAACTGCAGTGTGTGGCACTTCCGTATTGGCTTCCCGGCTCTACCCCACAGTTTGCCGCTTGGTAAAAAGGAGGGTTTCTGCCCTGTTACTTCTCTGCTGCTTTCTTGTTATAGTTTGAAAAGCGCAGTTTGCTTTTCAGCCCAACTGTATACTGTTTCTCAGACGCGGAGGGATACTGACTTGTTGTGAAAAGTAACTTACAATTCTACCTGTGGTATACGCTCAGTATATCACGGCTAAGAACCAATCAGATTGCTTGATTTCACTTGTCCGTTTTATAATGCTTCAATTAACTGGCTATTCTTTATAATATACTCAGATCAATAGGAGACAGAGATGTTACGTTATAAATCAAGGGTTTTTATTATTATTTACAGCAGGGGCGGGGAACCTTTTTCCTTTCAATTTTTACAACATCCTCCGAAGGCCGTACAAATTATTGAACTCAACCTCTGCTTAACCCTCCGGTATCACTGTGGAAGTTTTTGTCCATATGGGTCATTTTTCACTTTTCATTCTGCAATAACTTTGGTTGTGTAGGTGCATATGGCCTGATTTTTTGTAACAAGGCTATTTTCTCGATCTATTTTGGAATTCCAATTTCAATTTTTCAAATCGGTCTTTAATTCACTGTGTAACAAATCCACTATGCAAATTAGTCATTCGAGACAAAAATGTCCACTGCAAAAGACTTTGATAAAAACATTATATTAAAAGGTTTTTTTCACAACTTTTTTGGGTTCAATCTTTAAAGCAACTTCCGCCCTAATAGAAAATACCAAAAATGTAATAATTTTCAGGATTTTAACCCTTTAAATGCCATTTTGAATACATGAAACCGCTGTTTTTTTCATGATGAAAACAGAGAAAATTAGTTATTTTCCAAAAAATACATATCTGGGGACTGGCTCTTTTTTTTTTTTTCACAGTCTTGGATATGTCAAAGATTAGCAACAAAATTGATTTTTTTGCATTATTAGTTTTTGCACAAAATCAGATTGAACAAAAAAAGTTACAAATTAGTCATTCGGGACAAAAATTTCCACTTCCAAAAACCGCTCTAAAATGACAACAGTTTAATATTTTTTTTAACTTTTTGGGGTTAAATATTTCAATCAACTTCAGTCCTGATCAAAAATACCAAATGTTAAATTATGTTCAGGATTTTAACCCTTGAACTGCCAGTTTGAAAACATGAATTTGCGTTTTCTATGAAAAACATGCACAAAAAGGAAGTTATTTTCCATATAATAAATGTTGGGGGGGGGGGGGGGGGGGGGGTCGGCTTTTGTTCTTCTTTAACAGTCTTGGATATGTCAAAGATTAGCAACAACATTGATTTTAGTTGATTATTAGTTTTTTCACAGAATCAGATTAAACAAAAAACTCACACATTAGCCACTCGCGGACAAAAATGTCCCATCCACTCCCATTATAACCACATCTTTTGATCTCTTCGCCATACCGGTATAAAATCATGCATTTTGTAATGTCAGGATTTTATATTGGAGGAAAATAGTTCAATTTGTCCTTTTTACTGTAAAAACCAGATGTGACATTTTACCATTGAATTACATGCTTGTCATTTCTTGGTTTCTTTGCCTGTTGTATAATGGGGCCCTGAGAGCCATTGGAATACATGTATGCAACTAATATGATGTAGGTGTGTTGGTATGGATGTGGAAGAGTGGTATCAGCTGAGAAATGTGTGTGTGTGTGTGTCTGGATGTACAGTGTGTGTGCACAGAGACAACAATATACAGTAGATTTGGTTTACAGCAAGTCGCAGTTTTCGCCTCATATCTGTCTTTCTTTCTCTTTTTCTCTCACTCCTTCATTCCCAAACTCATACACACTCTTACATATTAACCAGTTAAGCCCTTAGCCTGTTTTTCAGGTTTCAGGCTCGAAAATGCCACTAACACAACAAATGATATATCTTCACTTCTAAAAAGGGGTAAATTAATAATTATTTTTCTCAAAGCAAGGTTACATCTGTGAGTTGGATGTAGAAGTGTCAGAATCAATATAGATGTTTTTATTTTAAAGTAAATTCAGATGGAACATAGTAAAAACATGTAAATTCTAATGTCCACCTAAAAAAAAACCTTTACTTATCGTGAAAACCACCCTTGCATGATGGGTTAGTAGACTAAAAGCTTTAGGAATCCAAACTATAACATATAATAAGTACCCTGTATCAAGATTGATGCAAAACAAGTGAAATTTGACCTTTTTAGAGAGATTTAGAAAAATAAAGTCTAAGCGGACTCACCTCTGGGTAATTTGGGAACCATCGGTTCCATTTGAACTTTTTCACTGTAAAAATCATTTTATTACTTTGAATTATCACTATAGGTATTCATTCCATCCAAATACAACTGTTGTGAAAAAAAAATAAAAATAAATAAAATAAAACATAGGCTTACTCTTACAGTGAGCCTCTGAATTAGCCCCGAGCGAAAAATGCTAACCTATTACAGCACCGAAAATCACTCCTCGCTCCCTTATTACTTATCCTAGCTGCACATCCAACACATTGTTTATGATCGCAAGGAGACACAGAATCTAACGGTGCCCACCTGAACAGCCCAACACTGAAAGATACAAACTCGCGACGTTATCAACAAAAACGTACATCAAAACAAATGGCGCTAGCGCTAATGCGCTAGGCTAACAATGACTTACCTTCCTCATTGTCTGGTCTAAACTGGTCTTCAATGTAATTAAAACGATAAAAACGATGATGTAGTGAATCCATAGATTAATATCCAATGGGGCTGTGTCCCCTTTGAAATGTTCTGATAATCTATAAGCAATAAAACTGCAATTCCGTTATCTGCTGTCCGCTCTGTGCTCCGTGCGCTCTGGGTCCTGCTGCATTACCTGCTTCTTTACGCTGTAAACAATAAATGAAGTCGGCTGCGTAATGTACTTAAGTTGGCTGCCATTCTTTATAATTTGCGCAGGACCATATCTCTGGAACCCATTGGTCGATTCGTGTGATTTACACCTTTTTCTTAACCATCAGAACCAATAGAATCGATGGGCAGTTCCCAAATCTACGTAAACATTACCATAGCGGACGTAATAGAGAAGCAAACGAAGCATATCTGAAAGTGCAAGCCTGGACGGCAATACTTTATACCGAGTATATTGCCATAAATATGATGATTGATTATCAGTAAAAAATTATACGTGACACAAAGACATTGGATTAACCTTGAGATGCGTTTTTATTCCGTTGAACACAACTTTTGATCACAAATCAAAAAAGGTAAGACGTAATTATTGTAATATTTTTGGAACCGGATGTTGTTTACTTTCTCTTTTCTGGCTGATAGCTCCAGGAATTCGAGGTCGGACAGTGATGACATTACATGTGTGAAATCTGTGGAGTCTCAGCTTTAAATCGTATATCTTGTTTGTGCAGTTAAGATAGTAATAAGGGCATTTCTACCGTGTGTTGTGTGTAAAAAAGCGTTAGCATTAGTTAGCATTTTTTCGCTCAATGCTAATTCAAAGGCTTGGTATTACTTTTGTGTTTTTCTTAGCTAACAATTGTTCTTATTGTCAGTTAGCGGAGTTTCTTACCTTTAAAAGGGTATGAAACATTAATAGTTTCATAAATGTTAAGAAGCCCTGAGACATGTGAGAAAAAAAAAAACTGTGGGAGGGGTCCACTGGGGGGACCTTCGGGCTTAACTGGTTAAACCTCCTTATACCTTGTGTGTGAGTGATTGTGTGTGAGAAGGAGACAGGAGTAAGTGTGCTCTCATGAAGTTTTGTTTTTCATTTGTGCCGTTTCATGTGTCTTTGAGGTAAACAGATGTATGATCTTGACCCTGCTTGACCTCGATGTTTTGAATTGTTTGAACTTCAAAGTCCTTTTTTTTTTTAAATATTGAAGTTAAAAGCATCAATCTGGTGCACTTTAAGAGCAACATTAAGAGATCTATGGATACATCTCTCAACACCCAGATGAAACACAACTGTAAGCAGATGTTCTTTTTCTCTATGGATATTTTACAAATCACTCCCCTTTCAAACTGTATTCTTGTTTTACTGCCATATAGTATTTCATAACTGTTTTTCCTTTATTCTCTTATTTGTTTTATAACTATAATGATCATATGAAGGTGTGTCCTGGAAATAATCTTTTGAATAATTTGTGACCAAACCGTTTGAGACCCACTGAGAAAACTTAGACTAAAGTTAAATATCTATTCTAAACACTCAGAGAGTCCTTTAGCTCACCTGAGCCTCTCAGTCTGAGAGGAGAGCTCTCCTCCAGCTTGTTGTGGAACCAACAGCTCCGTATGTCCGTTAGTGCAGCTAGCTAACCAGATGCTAACAACACGGTCCCTGCTGCTGGCACCGGTCCCTCTCTCCCCCCCTCTCTCACACACACTAAATGCGCTATGTCCGCACACAAATAGAGCCGAGTTTGAATGACACAAGCACACTTTTATTTCCATGCAACTCTCTGATTGGTCTGGTGTCTTGCCTCTGTTGCATTCACTGAACACGGGAAATTACATTCCTGCCGTCCTCTCGAGTGTCATGATGAGGTTCACGTAAAACACGGTTAATGTATTATATTATTGAGGTAGAATTGTCCGGGGCTACAGAAAAAACATTCGGGGCAGGCCAAAATATTATTTTACCAACAATGTGGAATTTATTGGCTACATATTACACAGATTATGCACAGCGGGAGCAGTTATAATAATTCAGACAGGGGAGCTCCGCACCCCCTGCCTGCCGCTAGGGGGTGCTGCAGCGCCCTCAGCACCCCCCCTTCCCACGCCCATGTCAAGGTGTACCTTAACCTCACTGAGCTGAGGTTATTTGAGCCTCTCAGGAGAGCTCTCTTCCACCTGTTTGTAGAAAAGCTCTTTAAATTCGTTAGCATAGCTAGCTAACCAGATGCTAATAACAACAGATCGCCACTGTGCTTACAACTAAAGACACAGCCACGCAAACAATGCGGCATGTGTACGGCTCCTTAAGGGTACTGCAATATTTGAGGAGCTGGAGCGACGTTCCGGTGCTCTCCGTCAGCACTCTAGTCTACACTCCTTTCAGACGAGACATAACCACGTGAAGACACGTTACGCTCGTGTTGTGTTCAGGGAACCTGTACTTGGCCAGGAAAAACAGGCACTCACTTGTTTAATTATTTTGCGGTCTCGATTTCTTATATACTTTACTCATTACTGCATTATTTTTGCACCATTGTGTAAATTGCACCATTTTACTTTCTCTTTATGTTAGGTATACTGCTGTTGCATTTGTAGAGGAAATTATTTCCATAATGATAAATAGTTCCAGAGGTGCAGGGAGTCTCACCTGCCCGTCCCCGCTCTGTCTCTCTCCGGCCAGGTCGCCCTTCTCCTCGGCTTTGCTCTCCTCTTTACTCTGTCCTCCTTCCTCTTTCTCTTCATTCTTATCCTCCTCTTCTTCCTCCTCTTCTTCCTCCTCTTCTACCTCCTCTTCTACCTCCTCCACCTCCTCCACCTCCTCCTCCTCCACCCCCTCCTGCACCTCCTCCACATCCACGACTTCCTCTACTGTTGCGGGGCCTTCGGCTGTGGTGGACGGTTTGGGCTCGGTTGGTGCTGCTGGAGCTTCTTCATCGCTGAACTGCTCTGCCTCCTCTTCCTCCTCCACTCCCTGAGGGAACACAGGAACGTGTAGTTTAACATTATTTATTTATGTTGGATCAAATAGGACCACATCCATGCATATCACTTTGCAGAAAGAAGTCTTATATGTTTACTAAAGCTAGCTATGGCTAAACAGAATTTTCTTTTTTTATTCCACCAGAAAACAACATGTAACCATGAAGGTTAAAAGACTTCGTAAGCCGGACGACGGAAAACAGAAAAAGATGGTATGGACTTCTGCTGTGTTTAAAGACGGTAATGACTTTCAGGACTCACTTTCCCAATTCCAGCTCACTAACCACATAGTCAACATAGTTTTTGGGTGAGATGCCTCAAATTAGGTCTGTGGTTAACACCGACAAGACATTAGTGAATGGCGTAAGCTTCTACCTGTTATAAAGTGTCTAAATGAGACCAAGCATCATCACGCCAAACATTAGCCGCCTTTAGCTTAGCAGCTGTGAGGTCAAGTATATTGTTATAGCCTATAGTTATATTTTTACTTCTGTCGATGAAATGTATACTTCATATAAATCAGTGGCGTTAATATATGGAGATTATTCTGCCAAACAAAACGTGAAAGTGTCAAAAAGTGTCACGTTTGCCACTGAAATTAATAATAATAATAATAATAATACCTTTTTTTTTTTAATGGAGGGAGCCCTTGTGATGCTAACTTCCGGTCGGCGTTCAAAAAAAACGTCTGCCCTGCACCACTGTTTTAATAGCAACACTGCTTTTCGTGTTCATGTTTCCTCATTTTCTTCAATGCTTCGTACTGGAATAATAGGCTATACGTTTGACTTTACACTACTGAAGTTCCATAATGAATGCCAGTTAAACCAGTTGCATACCGCTGCAGTGTTTTACCTCTGAATGGGAGCCGTTTTCCTCCGGATCAGCACTGTCATAGTCTGAGAGGACAGCTGCACAAAACACACGGAAAGAGAGAACATTAGATCATTTTTTTCATGTAATTCAATTCTGGCTCAAACATGTTTTAAAAGCTGGGTATGAGCTAGGGCTGCATGATATTGAAAAAAACTGACATTGCGATATATATTTTTCCCCTGCGATATATATTGCGTTTTTTTTAACTATATTTAACCGGATGAAGGATTTTAGTCACGGACGTCTGGATCTTAACTGGTTGACTCATCATACCTTAAGTCATGATCTAACATGTCATGATAATGCATGTTGCTTACCCTCAAATAAGGGGGTTCATCTGTGAATGAAGAAGAGAAGAACCTTTTTGTATCCAAAATAGTTCCAGATGGCAGATGTTGCTTTACTTTTTGGAAGTAAATCTTCATTCTCGCCGGTATTGTCCTCCTGTCCCTCGCTCATTTTTTACCGGTGTTTTGATGGTCTGCAAACTAGCGGGACGGGGCCTGCTGTGATCTGATCAAGAATGATTGTGATTGGTGGTTTGCTGTGCATGCAGAGCCTGCATGTCACTCACTCAAGTACCCCTGACATGAGAGCCGCGCAAGTTTTCCTTTTGTAGCAAGCAGCAAAATAATTGTAACATGACGTGTTTGAGTTAATTTACCTACTTAATATCCTTTAAAAAAAAATGAAAACAATTTTTTTTTTTATAAAATCGCACGTCCCTGCGATGTGAATATCGCGGTTATCGCCATGACACGATATATCGTTCAGCCCTAGTATGAGCCCCAGTTGGCTATAATCCTATCCAAAAAAAAAAACTGTAATTACTGTCTTTTGATTCCCTTTGTGTTCTTGGTTTAAAGCCCCGGCCACACGAGGACGATAACGGTCGTATCTGCTACAGTTCACTATCAGATAGACCAGGGGTTGGCAATAATATAACGGGTCCCAAGGTGGATAGATCTGCAAACGAAACGCTCTGGGGGGGAAAACGGCTCCGTGTTTACGCCTACACGATCATTTCCTGATAACGTTGAAGCAATAGCCACGCCTCTCCTGCTCAGAGATCAGCTGCTGGGCTCTCAGAAGAGGGGGAGGAAAAGAGAGGCTCTGTTTTTTATTATTATATAGAGTCGTTATTCATTTGTTTTAAAGCTCAATAAATAACAAAGAAGACCTTTGACCGGCACTTTTATAATTTTGTCCAGAAGATTTAAATTTTAACGGACATGTTGATCGGAAAACAAATCTAACTGAAACTCTGCCGCACGGTTCCCTCGTCCCTTGGAAGAGGCGGAGAGGTGGGTGTTTGTCATCTGCTGGTGGACTACCGGAGAGATTTACAGCAGGAGCCCACGCTTGCCTCGGGGAGGGAGAAAAAGAGCCAGAGCGTCCACAGCGAAGAAAAAACAGAAGGGCAACAATGCGCGGGAAGTCTTCTTCGCTGCTTTTGTGGCAGGACTAGAGCGCCACTTACAGGCCTGGCATGTGTACTACAGCGTCTCCAGCGCTTTCGAGCGGTCTCGTGTGAACGGACACGTAACTTTCTGGTGCCTGTTGCGTGTGGACGGAAGACTTTTTTGATAACGATTGCGGTCCGTTTGCGTTATCGTCCTTGTGTGGCCGGGGCTTAAGGGATATGGCCAAAAACTTTTATCACGGTATGTCCTTTTGACTATATATTACAATACAGTAATTGTTATGTAAATTCCTTAATAAATGGTTTCAAATCATCATACCGTAGTTCACATCACACATTTGCCGCACAAGACATGACATGAGTTAAAAACAGAAGACTGAAACCAGTAAAACTACACAAATAATGGAACGCTTTATGGTTCTTGAAAAAAAATTGTTTCAGGTTTTACAGGATGTTATGTTAACCGGGGAAAACATAAAGAGCCTGATTTAAGTGTGTGCAATGTTAATAAACATAAAAATCACAAAAAGGAAAAACACTTATTGTGGAGATTTGCTTCCATGATGGAAACTGCATAGCTAAATCTCCCATTTCTAGCGTGAGCTGGTTCAATTTGACAAGGCTTAAGGATAGGTTTGAGATGTTGTGAATTAATAAATGTCTTACCTTCACCTACACCATCTTCACTCTCCTGCAAAACACAAAAACTAAAATCAGCATTGTATTGTTTGCTCTCAAAGACGACAACAACTCTTCCGTAGGACAACCCTGTGAGAAACTATGAATCATAACAACATAGTGAGGGTGACCAACAACCAGTGGCGGCCGGCCCATAGGGGGCGCCGCCCCCCCCCTCTTTCCACATGTTTGATTGTCATTAAAAATTAAAAATATATTTGAAAAATATATTATTTTTTTTTTTAATGAACAAGGTAAATATTATATAGTTGGTATCAGTAAAAATGTATAATCTAAAATAAAATCTTGTTTAAAATTGTGTCACATGTTTCCTGCCTGGCCGCAGCGTGTATCATTACCCTCTCTCGTCTGGGCGCTAAGAAAGGAGCCCTCACTCAGCCCCAGCAGCATCCAACACATTGCTGACTGTTACTATGCTGCCGAAACTACTGGTTATGGCTAGAAAGGATCCGTCTTGTGTAAAACTCTCGCGAGAGTTTGCGAGTCACGTGGCAGAATGTTTACGTTTGACAGGCAGCCTTTTAGTTACGATCGTTAACATCAGTGGGCCACAGCAAATGATGGTGAGAAGCTAAACTATCTATTAATTATGTCATTTACAGGGAGTGTGAATGTAACTGTGTGTGACTAGCTGGATGCAAACAGGTAAACGCTGTCTTTTGTTTCCCATGCTTGCTCTTCAAACAGCCGGGGAAAGATACTATGTGCCCGTGATAAATAAACACCCACACACATATTATTGTATATAGTTGAGTTGACAGCATCCATCAAACTAGATTTGTTTGCCTTAATGGTCTGTTTTCTAATATTTCTGTGTTTCTGAACCACGTCTGTGTCTGCATATAATGTTCGTATTTAGTCTCCTGATTTGAAATGGGAATTAGATCATTTTGAGTGTTCCCAAAGAACCGGTGTTCTGCAGTTTGTGTGGGCCTACTGTACTGTTGCACAGTTTACTGTAGAAACTATGTCCAGGACAAGGTGTTTCGAAGTTTTGGAAGATTCATAGCTAACCACACTGAAGATTATGGAAGTATTGATCCGTCTTCTCATATCTCTAACATCACCAGAAGTCATAATTTAAGGGGTCATTTCTCAAAATGTTCCCTGTGTGGTTTATTCACCATTACAATAGCCCCACCTAAAATAATTTCCACCAGCCACCACTGCCAACAACATTTCCTGAACAGTGAATTTAAATTGTTACCATCAAAAATACAGGGTTCAACGATTAAATACAGTTCGACTAAAGCGCTCCTTTGAGCACAACACGATCTTGAAATTAACCCAGAGTCAAATCCCAGGTCAGATGTACGTTAAAAGGGTTTTGAACATGTTGTCTTCAGTTTATGTTAATGTCTGTTTCCTTGTTTCGTGTCTTAATATTTGTATTTGTTTGATGTTGCAAAGGAAGCTGCTGTGATGCAAGAAAACATTAAGACTTGATCTGACATTAAAATATTACTATCGTATTATACCCTCTTCTACCCCCGGGTCATTGGAAGTGAATTCTCCCGCTGGACGTGGCACGGCGGAAAGCATTAGCGGGGCCTAGCCGGGTGCTAACCGGAAAAAATGCTTACCAACACCAGGGTGGAAACTGTCTTATTAACAAAGCCAACCGGAGCTTCTTATATTGAGGTCAACATTAACCCAAACTCGAGCAAGGCAAAGTATCAAGGGAAAGCCGGGGTTATGGCTGAATGTACCCTCTGTAAATGCGTTTTAACCGGCGCTTTAACGCCTCACAGCGGAGAACAACATTACAGTAAAGTTGGACTAACTACCTCAACTGTTGATGCTAAAACTGCTTATTTATCACACTTAAAGTAAATATAGCCTATACACAAACTCTCTAATGACGGTCTAACAGCTAACGTGGGGGCTCCTTCCAGCTAACGCAGTCTACTGAAGGAGCCCTAAGACGTTTATGTAAGGTGTAAATTGGTTATAAGCAATTCATTTATCGCAGCATTTTCAAATCACCCAGCCGAACTCAGCGCTCGCCCCCCGGGGAAAAGTTGTTTAAGGCAGCGGTAAATGTCACAGTCAGCTTGGGAAGCTAACGCGGGTTAGCTACTCACACACTCCGACTCCACTACGGGTTTCGGCTCTGGTCGGGTTGCTGTCACCTCCGGCGGTTCGGGTTCTCTCACACGGTTCTTGGTGGTCGGGGAGCCGGACTTCCCGCTGTCCGAGCCCGAACCGGACTCGTCGTCGTCCTCGCTGTCCTGGGACGCGCGCCTCCTCCTTCGCCGCCGGTCCGCCATCTTAGATCTCGAATGGTTGGAACCGGAACAAGACTGTGGGTAGGCTAGTTATTCTCTGAGGTTTTAAATAAAAGGTCATGAGCGTGTTTTTTTGTACTGCCATCTTCTGGAAGTCGGTACGTCAAATAATACGTAATCATTTCACGGTAAAACAATATAACATTTTAAATGAAAGAGCTTAAGCAATTATTTGTTTAAAATATATCTATTCAGTCTGATTTTTTCCTAGTAAATATTTGGTCAATTAGATATGTATTTCAGATACCTAAATTGTAACTATATTTAAAGCACCATTTGTGATTGTTAGTGTAATTTATTTAGACAGATACATGACATACCACTCATTTATACTTTGTAGCCTATGTCGGGAAGACATTTATCAGGTTCTATTTGATCGATTAAAATTGTTATATATTCATTTTACATTAAGTCTGCTAATCACTCATACAATGTAGAAATGACTGTTCACAACATTGGAGTCAAAATTGAGTCCATTTGTAGATAAATCAGTTTCTACGTCTATCACATTTCTGAGGACAGTTGGGGTACTCTAGTGGCAGACTAGTAGGGCAGCAGTGGTTCAGTTTGTAGGGACGGTCGGACCAAAAAAAATACGGAGTGTGGACTGGTATTGGAGAGGAGCCAGTTCACCTCCTAGACCCCTTCCGAGGTGCCCTTGAGCAAGGCACCGAACCCCCAACTGCTCCTGGCTCCGGCTAGACTGGCTGCCTCTCCGCTCTGGATCCTCTCGTGTGAATATATCACTGTGTGTATGTGCATGTGCATGTGTGCACACAAAACATTACTGTGTGTATTTGTATACCTATATACAGTGCTTCTCAAAGTGTGGTCCGCGGACCACTGGTGGTCCGTGAGTGCCCCCTAGTGGTCCGTGAGTATATTGGTAACATTTCACATTTTTAATAAATAAATAAATTTAAGTTTTCCGCACTCTCGCGGGAATATCTCCGCAATGGAGCGAGCTTAAGTTTCACTTTCGATTGCATGATATAGCCCAGATAAACACCTTCATCACACATGTTGCCACTTGTTTGTACCATTTTCAAAAAATGAGAATATACAAAAACGATGTGAGTTAGGTGGTCCGCGGGTTTCTTTTTATTGGTTAAGTGGTCCTTGGTATGAAAAAGTTTGAGAAACACTGCTATATAAGAAGCATGTGCATGTATAAAAAAAACTGAGTGGAAAACTGAATTTCACTTCAATAAAGGTCCCCGCTATGGGATTAGTTTTGTATCATAAAGATAAAGCAACACTTTCTCAGAATAAAGAAAAACTATGAGTTTAAGAGAAAAAAAAACGGAGTCAAGCAAAAATAAAATACATTCCAAACAAAACTAAGTTGCAAACAAATCATTTGTGTAATCATGTAAACTGTAAGTCTTTTTTATTTGTTTTTACATAGGTTTTTGTTTGCAGTTCTTGTTTCTTCTTTCTCAATGATCAGACTTTTGCTCTCGCTGCAGCTCTTCTCGTTTGCGCTCCCTCATTTTTTGTTTTCGATTTTGACACAAACATCCCAGGTGGGCGGGACTATCAGGGGTGTGTCCCCATTGGCTACTCAGTCTTTGAGTGACAGCCCACTACACCACAGATCATACAGCGCAACTCATGCAGCACAGAGCCCTGGGTTGCGTTCCGATAATCCAAAAATTAGCTCCTAAATTCTAACCCTGTCTCCTATTCCTTGACCTCTGAGTGAAACGTCACGGGGTTAAGGGATAGTGGATAGGAGAATTCAAAAGGACTTAGGAGAAGAGACCGCGGTACTTTAGAGAATCCGAATGCACTTTCACTATCCGACGTGTTTATGATGCGCCAGCGGACGTCATGAATGTGCGTCTGCTGCTGTGGGGAAACTATGGAAACTACAGTTTTCTATAGCGGACTACAACATGGATGTTTAATAAGAACGAGGGACTACTGTAAACTCATCTAGAGACTCTGCACCGTGCTCTGATGCTGTTGCTTTATGCTTTATGAACGTGGACAACAGAGAAACATATTCTTCATGACCAAAGTTGGAATTGAAATAAAAAAGGAAAGTGAAACTTATGCTCGTCACCCTCTCCCTCCGGTCCACATTAATACAAATGATCCCAATACGTATGATTGTATGAAAAGATCTTAAAATCAATACAAATTATCCCAATACGTATGATTGTATGAACTATGAAAATATCTTAAAATCAATACAAATGTAGGCTATTTATTATAAACGTTAGTCCTTAACATCTATCACTGTGTATATCACCATTCAAACATCTTTTAAAAGTTGAACAAACCCCACACAGCTCAGTAAAGACTGTGAGATGTTGACTTTATTTGATCATTTCAGTAAAAATAATAATAATACTGATGAACGTTCAAAACAAAGCACTTTGGCAACTTACGTTTTAAAATGCTTAATAAGCACCGTAACTTTCATGATATAATTTATCGGTCATAATCGGTTGTTTCCGTGAACGGCTGACTGTTGTGATGGCAAATGCTGCGGCTGCAATGCATTGTGGGGCAGCATTTTCTCCTCTCCTTTCGGTTAGGGGGGTCCAGTGGTTCCTAAGCTATAGGAGGTTATAAAGGAAGTTTGAAACCTCCTTTCCTTTCATTTGGAGAATTGGAACGGCACTTATCATGGCTGCCACTGACGTAGCCTACTTCCGGGTCACTCCGTCAGGAAGGTTCCTAAGCTAAAAGTGCTTTGTTACATTACATTGCATTTAGCTGACGCTTTTATCCAAAGCGACTTACAATAAGTGCATTCGACCAGGAAGACACAACCTTGAAGAAAACAGAATCATATAAGTACATCAGGTTTCATAGAGCCAAACATTTCAAGTGCTACTCAACTGGCTTTAGATAAGCCAGTCCTTTATTAGTATAAAAGTGCTTCGTTAATAGTTATATCGCTCGAAGTGGAGTCGAAAGAGATGAGTTTTCAGTTTGCGCCGGAAGATGTGAACGTTCATCAGTATTATAATCAAAAAGAGAAATATGAACGTTAGTTTTTACTGAAATTATCAAATAAAGTCAACATCTCAGTCTTTACTGAGCTGTGTGGGGTTTGTTCAACTTTTAAAAGATGTTTGAATGGTGATATACACAGTGATAGATGTTAAGGACTAACGTTTATAATAAATACATTTGTATTGATTTTAAGATATTTTCATAGTTCATACAATCATACGTATTGGGATCATTTGTATTAATGTGGACCAGAGGGAGAGGGTGACGAGCATAAGTTTCACTTTTATTTCAATTCCAACTTTGGTCATGAAGAATATGTTTCTCTGTTGTCCACGTTCATAAAGCATAAAACAACAGCATCAGAGCACGGTGCAGAGTCTCTAGATGAGTTTACAGTAGTCCCTCGTTCTTATTAAACATCCATGTTGTAGTCCGCTATAGAAAACTGTAGTTTCCATAGTTTCCCCACAGCAGCAGACGCACATTCATGACGTCCGCTGGCGCATCATAAACACGTCGGATAGTGAAAGTGCATTCGGATTCTCTAAAGTACCGCAGTCTCTTCTCCTAAATCCTTTTGAATTCTCCTATCCACTATCCCTTAACCCCGTGACGTTTCACTCAGAGGTCAAGGAATAGGAGATAGGGTTAGAATTTAGGAGCTGATTTTTGGATTATCGGAACGCAACCACTGTTTATATATATTGTAACGTTCCCAAGATGAGTCGGAGACAGGCTTGTAGTTATTAGGCTTTAATAACCAGTATTTGAAGACAGATGATAACAGGTCAAGTACACTTTGTGGGTTCTACCGCACACTCCACTCACACTAACACTAACTTCTACCATACCCATATATATAGCACTGTCTACGTCACAACTCCCCGCCCTCCCCCGTCCGCTCCACCAACCACAGGCCCGCACCTCAGCCACCATCACGGTGCAGCTCTATGATTGGCAGAGAGACGGGGGATGCCTAATGGCGCGTTTCCACTGCAGGCCTCGCTCGGCCTCGCTCGGTTTGGTTTAGCCCGGCTCACTTTAATGCTGCGTTTCCATTACAGTTTAGGAACTGGGGTAGTTACCATAGTAACGCAGTGTAGGCGGGGCGATCAACTTTTTGGCGGGCGGAGCGACGCTGCATACAACTGCCGTGATGTCATCTTCAATGCGACACAACTCACAAAACACACAACAACAATGGAGGATGTGGAAGCCATCGTGTCCTTGCTTCTTGGTATGTGGTTTTTTATCACAGCAAGAAGGAAAACTTTGTTTCGGAAAAGGCTGCTTATAGCAAGACGTAATACAGAAGAAGCTGAGGGGAGACTTATGGCAATCGTACAACGCGGCAGAGACTACTCCAGGACGACTCAACGACAACGCTACTCGGTAAGCTAACGTTCGCTAACTAGCAATGTGTTTCACGCTCACTATACGACCAAAGTGTTTCACGCTCATTATATGACAAAAGTTTTTCAAGTATTTAATTAATTGTAGCTACCACTTTTACGTATTAAAATATGTATGCTTTTGTTTGTGTATTTCAGAAGTTAGGTTGCCACCGCAGACCATGTGTTTGGATGCTTGACCGAGCAACCGAGTGGTGGGGTGTGATTGTTCCATCTTTCACACACACTCAGTGGGTGGAGAACTTCAGGATGTCTGAGGAAACCTACGTATACCTGTGCAACAAACTGCGGCCAGCGATGGAGAGACAGGACACACCATTCCGCGAGTGTATACCTCTAAAGAAGAGGGTGGCCATCGCACTGTGGAAGCTTGCGACCGGCTCAGAGTTTGATGCGCTACCTGAATAGCTAAATATTCATTGTATACAGGAAACTTGAATGTTTTGGTTCATAACATCATGGTTCAGTAAGTTGATATACATTTCTTGTGTTTGTAATTATAAACACGACATTGAAAGATTGTGGGCCATTAAGGCTAGTGACGTTTTGTTTTTATTATTACTACATTGTATTGAACATAAATAAATCTATTTTTCTCTTTCACATATGTGTTTGTCAAATGATTTAAACAAAAAAATGTTATCAGAATTGACTATTTAGTAAATATTTGATTTTCAAGCACCAGTAAGTACTTCCCCATAATAAGAACATTTGAGCAAATATGAAAGTAAACATAAATACAAATGATCTCTTAACCCCCCTTCTCTTCCAGTTTATTTGTAAAAGGAAATATTTTACTTTAAGTAATGTGTCAGTTACCAAATAATGTTTTAGAGGAGGACCTCAAGCAAGCAAACTCAATTTCTTGCTTTAAATCTCTTCTTAAAATTAACTTTTATCTTATGGGCATTTTCCTAACTGATGGTGTTTCTTATTTCTTTATAAATTCATGTATGTTTATATCTAGATCTTAATTGGGCTGTTTTTACAATTGTTTTTGAGTGATATTGTAGGCTTTTGTTTTTAAAGATCCACAAATATTATTAGTAATGGTATTAGTTGTAGCCTATTTTTATTTAGGAAAAATATAGGCCTATAACTTCTGCCTCATGTGAATCTGAGTTTTTGTTCTGCTGATTTAAAGCCCTTTAATTGTACATTTCAGTTTATGATTGGATTCCAAAACTGTAATTTTGTGTGTGAGTGGCAACCCAGTGACTTTGTTTACATGCTCACGGAAATCAGTTTGTTAATCAGACGATGCATTTATCAACAAGAGATAAGATGAGAAGTACTTTATTGAATCCCAATTTGGGAAGTGTTTTTTGTTGCAGCATAAAAAGGCATGGCATTGTATGTACAATAGAAATAAAAAATATATATATATATTTGTTGCAGCAGCATAAAAAGGCATGGCATTGTACAAATACAAAATAAAAAAATGTTTGTATTGCAGCAGCATAAATAGATATGACATTATAAAAAAAAAAAAGGAAAGATAAGAAATAAACAAGAAAGTATAAATGTTGCATTTACAAATTAACAAAAACAAGAGATGAAACTGAATAATATTAAAATTACAGAGGTGGTTCGTCTTCCTGAGGAGACGGGCCACGTCGGCTGCCCCCTCGAACCTGGCCGAAAGTGCGCAGGAAGGCCAGGTTAAACGCATGAGTTTGAGCGTTCTCCTCCCTTCTCAAGGCCATTTCCTCCTCCCTCGCCCGGGCAACAGCCTCCATGGTCAGCTGCCAGTGCCGATCCACCTGGGCCAGGTTCTGTTCATGGTGCCGTGCCTGCTGTGCTAGGTGCTCGTCTCCTCCTCGTTTCCTCTTGCCTGTATGACAATAAGAATTAGCAATAACAATGAAAAACACAGGACAGGTACAGGTCACAAAAGGATACAATACAATGTATAAGCAGAACAACAGTAAGAATGAACTAAAGACAGTTATGCCCTAGATGTTTACAATGACTGTGAAAGTGAATTACATTATGTCCAGCCTGTTGATAATGAATATATGTATATAATAGGATGTCACACACAATTGTACTAGCTGCGTACTAGCTAGTTTGTAACAGAGCATTTCCACACAGTGGTATAGCTTATTTTACTTAATGATGATGGATGATCTAAAGTTAAAAAAAAAGTCACAATTCCAGTCGTTTTGCCATGCCTATTTCTTACCTAGAACCACACGCTGCGGTGTCGTGATGGCACTCGGCATTGGTGTCGGTTCCTCGACTGGTGTCTGTGGTCGAGTTGAGGTGTGTTCTGATGATGTTGAGGACGGAACACTGCCACCACCCGTTGTTCGGGACTGTTCCTCCTCACTAGTCCCAATGGCATCATCTAGAACAGCAACATGACTTGTTAATTCCACAAACTACTGTAGCACAATACTAAATAGCAACAACAACTGTAGAAAAGAAGAACCTAAACAATGGCGCATGTGGTGTTAGCAAACAATAGCTCTAGCTAATGCTATCTGCCAGCTAGCTATGTAGCTCTTCGGGGCTCCATAAAAGCATGGGTTGTCGAACATAAATGTAAGGATAAAATACTTGTTTGTTAGAAGTGAGCTTTAGAATAGATAGGGACACAACGCTTTCAAGCAAATAACAGAGCGTTAGCAAAGACTTACCATGCAGGGACTCCAGTAACGCGGTTGCAGAGTCCAGGCCTCCCTCCCTCCCAACGTTGGCCGGTCTATGGCCATAAATAGCGTCCAACAGGTCGAACCACTTCCAGTTTTTCCTATCTGAACCACTCCGGCAGTTGTGGTCCTTCACGGCTCTATACTCACTCTTAAGCTTTTTCAGTTTTTCCCTACACTGCTGGAAAGTCCTTGAGAATCCGCGCTCGGACAACAGTGCAGAGACCTCCTGAAAAACTTTTAGGTTGCGAGTTGTGCCGTCGAGCTCCCGCTGGATTTTATCATCTGCAATCAGCTGGAGGAACGTCGCAATCGACCACGGTATGTTTTTCTTTGCCATTTTCTTAGGTTTACAAAAATGCTGCAAGCGTCCCTTAATATATGCGACACTAGGGATTAAGTCGCGCGAGAATTGTGACGATTCTCTCTGACCAATCAGAGTCGTCACTAGTTTAGCATATTCCGCCCGGTTGTTGGCCCCGCTTGTTGGCCTCGATAGAACCACGATTTAGTCGGGCCAGAAAAAGGGTGAAAAAGTAGCCTCGGGCCAAAACTAGGCCAAGTGGAAACGCAACCAAAAACGGGCCCCGCACGGCTCGGCGCGCTTAAAGCGAGCTACCCGCTGCAGTGGAAACGCGCCATAAGTGACACCCTGAGTAGCCTATCAGGATCGCTACACTACCGCCCCCCACTACAAAGTTCCTCGCCCACGAGGAACAAATAAAACTCAGCACAAACACTACCCCCACCCTCTCCAGTACTCTGCAGGGACCAACCCACTGACTGTCCAGTTTTGGGCACCGGCCTTTCTTCCGTTGTGGGCTGTAGACCCAGACCAGCTCCCCGGCCCGGAAATGCTGCTCTCTTGTCCTGGTGTCATAGTTCCGCTTCTGTCCACCTCGTCCAGTCTCAGCTCCATCTCCTTCAGTTCGCCTCCGAGTCTGAACCTCACAGAGTCCAGGGTCTGCTCCACCTCTGCCTTCATCGAGGCCTCTCTGTGTTGGGCGTTCTGCTCCATGATACTCCTCTCCGCTATAGCTACGCTTGCCTGCTTCTGGGACTCATCCAGCCGAGGTTTACAGGTATCCAACTCTGCTTCTGTCCTTTTCAGGTCTTCTAGAGTTTTCAAAGTCTCCAGCTGGGATTGTCCTAGCTTATTCTGGAGCTCGTTGTAACCTTGCTGCAGCGCCTTAGCGTCTCTACCCATCTCGCTGATCCTCTCCTGGTACTTGATGCAGTCCCTCTGCAGCTGCTTCTCCCTCAGCAGCTCCTCCTGCTTACCAGACTCTGCTTCTGCTCTCTCTCTCTGTGCTTGCCTCATGTCCTCCTCCAGCCTGGCGGCCCGGTCGCTCTCCGCCTCAGCCCACTCCCTCGCCAACCGCTCCACCTCCCGCTGCAGCTCGGCCAAGTGCTCCCGGTTGTCCGCCGCCTCCTGCTGGTAGTCTGCGATGCTGCCATTGAGCTGGGACAGCTGGTTCGTCAGACGCTCCTCCAGGTTGTCCTTCTCGGCTTCCAGGCTCCTGAGCAGCTCTTTGAACTGCGCCTCCCTCTTGGCACCCTCCTCCACCAGGCTCCTTTCTCTCTCTTTGCCCTCTTGGAGGCACTTCTCCAGAGAGGCCACAAGGCTCTCCTTCTCTTGACTCTCCTGGCGATCTCGCTCAAGAGAGGCCAGCTCCGCTTTGAGTCTAGCCTCCTGTTGCTGCCGCAGTTCCCTCTCTGCATTGACAGCTGCTTCCATCTCCCTCATTTTCTCCTCTAATAAAACTTGAACACTTTCAGTCATTTCGGTAACCCATACAGGCTTCTCCTCCACTCTGCAGCTCCTCACAGCCGGTGGTACCGGCCTTCCGTTGCTCCTCGCCGCTACACTCCACACAATCTCTCTCTCCACAGCCATCTCCAAGGCCGCCTGCAAGGACTGTGGATGCTGCAGCTGTACCCCAACCCTCAAGTCCACAGGGAGGAGAGCCCTGATGAATTGATCATGTGCCAGCTCACTCTGCACTCCGGGTGGCATGTGTGCATATGCCCGCCGCGTCAGGCTCTCCACGTCGTTAGCCAACGCACGCAGCGTCTCTCCAGACTTCCTACAGCGGTTACTCAATTCGTTCCGGAGCAGCTCTGGCGGGAAACACTGTCCAAACCGCCTCTTCAAAGCCCCCGCTAACGCTTCATAGCTGTGTCGGTCCTCAAGGCTAAGTAGTAGCAGACATGAAAGAGCCTCTTCTGTGAGGCACAAAGCTAGCTGTAGTGCTTTAGTCTCTACTGACCACCCCCCGGCATGAGCAAGCAGTTCAAATTGGGCATGGAAAGCCTCCCAGTCTGCCTTACCCGAGAATGTGGGTGTTTTCACGGACCCGGCGGCGGCTGCTGCGGGTTGATGGGCGCCGCCATTGTTGTTTACCTCCAGCTTGGAAATGGCGCGAACTGCCGCAGAAGACGGAGACATTCCCGCGTCTCTAGCTATCCTCACCGCCGACTATCTCAGGCGCTCTCTCACCTCCCGTGCACTCATGAACTCCTCTCTCATGTCCTTCGACCACCCGCATGCTCCATCTTCCTCTTCATCACTACTGTGTTCCTGCTTCATTCCCATCTTGCTGAACTTATCCATCCCCGCTAGCTTACCGGCTAGCTCCGTGACGCAGTTACGACTCTCGTCCGGATAGACGTCCCTTGTTCGAAAAGTTCACTTCTGACACCAATGTAACGTTCCCAAGATGAGTCGGAGACAGGCTTGTAGTTATTAGGCTTTAATAACCAGTATTTGAAGACAGATGATAACAGGTCAAGTACACTTCGTGGGTTCTACCGCACACTCCACTCACACTAACACTAACTTCTACCATACCCATATATATAGCACTGTCTACGTCACAACTCCCAGGCCCGCACCTCAGCCATCACGGTGCAGCTCTATGATTGGCAGAGAGACGGGGGGTGCCTAAGTGACACCCTGAGTAGCCTATCAGGATCGCTACAATATCTATGGGAAAAACCAGAGCCATATAATAGAAGAGTTACGACAACGGAAGTCCAAAAACGGTTATCGTCACGTGGTTCATGTAGAAGAGGATCGTTCCCCGGAAGTTCATGGCGGGCAATGTGAATGCATTGATAACAGGAGATAGAACTACGATTTTTGGTAATTATTAGTGAATAAAGGTTTTGATTTGCAATATTTATACAACAAATCGATATGTGTATGTATTTACATCAATATGTTTTAAAAAATAAAATAGAATTTGCTAATATTAAGTGATAATATTAGGATTAGTGTGAACAAGGAGTTTACATGTTAGGCTAACAGTGCCTTGGTTAAAGAGCCTGTTGCTGTTTATTTATAGCTTTGAATTCTTTAAAACCAATATTATCTTCTTAAACTTGTATGGTAGTCAGGAGCATCACTTTCTAATGTTTATTGATATATTTAGAGGGAGGGGATCTAAAGTAATGCTTTAAAATTCAGATTAGATTAATGTCTACCATTTTCTTAAATTCATGGTAGTTTCAGTAACCATGGTAATTGAGGACACAAGTTATCTAAATGACTAATGTCATCTTTATGGCTTTCAGAAAGGACAGGAGACCGACAGGTGACTATCAAAGGACTAGCAGCAGCAGCATGATGATGATGTTAAATGTGTTGCTTTAGGAACATCCATTGCAAATACATGGAATTCAATAAACATTGAATAGCATATCATGCAGTTTGTCTGTGCCTTTTCCTCCGTGTTGTCCTGGTTTGCTGTGCTGCCTCCTAGTCGCCACCATGGTTTGCTGTGCTGCCTCCTAGTCGCCACCATGGTTTGCTGTGCTGCCTGGGGATGCTCCAATCGCTCAGAGAAAGGAGTACGAATGTACAGCTTCCCCACTGACACAGAGCGGAGGAAGCAGGAGCAATTTCACGACCAACAGCAAAAAAATATGTGATTTATATACAAACACTGCATTTGCACTTTTTCACAAAACGAAAACCACACCATTGGGAAAGCTTAATGTTTTGTTTAATACAAAAAACAGGGAAAGGCTTGAAAAACACTGAGTTGAGACTCAGGGTGCAGGGTGAGGGTCTCAGTGCAGGTATTCAGGCTCCATTGAATCCCCCTCTGGTTCTTGTGCTGAAAGAGGGAGTAACAGACAGGAGAAAGGGTTATACACACCTATATAGCACACCTATTGGATGGGGAATTGCCTTGGGGAGATAAGGTGTGGTCTTTGTTCCCAACTGAAGTTATAGAACTTTATTATTTGTGAGTTTAACAAAGTATGACAAATGGCATCAGTAACATATGTGAAATGAATTTCTATAAAGTTGTCTCACATTCTTGGTCATATTGTATATACAGTATGTAATGAGTATAACATGTCCAGTAAGTATAAAGTGTTTCCTAATACTGTGTATTCAAGCACTATGGGATATGTATGTGGGCAGACACAACTGAGTTGTTCTGTGTGTGAAGTAACCTCAAGTCACTCCGCAGGCACATTTTGATGCAGACCAGTTTGTCAAGACAAAAAAGGGCAAGACTAGGCTGAGAGCAGAGGCTCTACCAACCATCTTCGTGCATCGCCCTGTGGTCAAAAAGAGAAGGGCCCCTGCACCACGATTCACCCCGGGACCTGTATCTACAAAGCCCATAGCTCATGATCACAGCGATAGTGTGAAAGGTGACACAGGTATAATAAGTATGAACTCTTAGTAACAAAAGTAATATTTCTTATTTTTAAGTGGTATAATATTTTAAATGTTCGAACATTTACAGTGCCATGTCTTCTACTTACATTAGTCTCAAAGATTGAGGGAAGAAGGGAAGGGATCACTGCCCTCCACCAACCTGATCTCATCAGAATGCGTGACTCCACCACGCAACCTTAACACCACATTGCGTGGTGGAGTCACGCATTCTGCTACATTTGCGTGTCGGCACCACGCAAAAAACCCCAATGTAAAGTGAATGAGGCTCTTTTGTCGTGGTGCACACACGCATTTCTACAACGTCCCGCAGTGAGCTTTTATTCTATAAAACGTTTTTAAAATCTACTTTATAGCTTGTAGTAACTCACGGGAGGCTTCATTTATTTTATTTGTATTCATAATAATTTGTATTTGTCGTCAGAATGTATTATGGTGCATTAGTTACGAATTTTTGTTCTCAAAAAACAGTGCATTGTGTGTAATACAACTGTGATTTTTATTAAATTAGTTAGTTTTTAAGGAAGGCCAGAGCTTCAGCTGTGTCAATAGATTGTTCCCTTTAGTTAACGTTATTTAAAAGATAATGATCATGTCCCCTTTATTGTATTACGAGCGTCCATTCCCATTGGATAACGGAGAATTTTACACCCGGAAGTGAGTATTCTCTTTACTGTCGATTGATTTTACAGTGATATCTGAACTACTCATCAACTCAAAAACACCAGATTATCCTTGTTAATTACACAACATTGATTGGTTTAAATTGTGTGCAATGCTTTTGTATTTTTCCCCTTCGATTCGGAGAAACGAATATTTG